CAGTGAGGTTAAGAGGGCTGCCTGAGGGCACACAGCCTGTAAGTGTCAGGGCCAAGAGCAGAAGCAGTACAGTTTTTTTCACTGTTGCAACCCAGCACATCCCACGTGCCTGGAACACACTAGGCACCTAATCAATGCTGACCGAATCAAAGGAACCCAGGTCCACCAGACTTCAAAGCCCTTGGTTCTCTTTTGTACCTCATTGCCTCCCACATGAAGATGAATTTATTGTGAGAAGCTCACAATAAATTGTCTACAAACATTTGCATGTTTCTGGAGAGGCTTTGAAAACTCTTGACCCCTCCTTTGCATGGCTGGGCCACTGCCCTAGTTAAGATAAGATTCTCTTCCTCTCTTACCAGGAGGATTGCAACAGCTCTAGACTCAAGAGTTACTTGTCCTTCCATTAAAAAAGAAGAAGAAGAAAAAAAAAAAAAACCCAAAATGTCTGTCAGGCCCTGATTTTAGATTTCCACTTTCTCTTCTGGGTCTCTCTAATGTCCAAGACGGTTTTGTCAAGCTTAATATTAGTAATTTGTAAATTTGTGTTATGACAATGGTTTTTTCCCCCACCTTAGAGATATGAAACTGTAATATTGACTATGCCCTTTCAAACCACATTGTTGTTGTTTAGTCCCTTCAGTCGTGTCCAACTCTTCGCGACCCCGTGGACTGTAGCTGGCCGGTTTCCTCTGTCCATGGGATTTCCCAGGCAAGAACACTGGAGTGGGTTGCCACTTCCTTCCCCAAGGGATCTTCCTGATCCAGGGACCAAACCCCTGTCTCCTGCATTGGCAGGCAGACTCTTTAGCACTGAGCTACCAGGGAGGCATCTGTGAGCGCGTGCATCTCTACGTGGCACCTCAGCTCTGGCTGTGGGCCTCAACACCTAGGCCCTGGGTGGGCAGTGAGTGCCCACAGCCACACCTACCCATTTCTGTTGCTCTGACTCCATCCTTCCCCAGGCTCCAGCTGGAGCTAGTGCAGCTTGGCCTTGGCCTCCCCAAGCCAGGCTGAGCATCCCCCAGAATCCCTTTCTTCTCCAGTTGGCTCCACAGTCAGGACCCTCTACAGGTGAGAGCTTAATAAACCCTCTTCAGGCTCCAATCCCTTGTGATCTCTCCCAGAGATCCCAGCTCTAGGTGTTCTTGGGGCTGTCTTCCTCCTCAAGGCCTGGGACTTAGGGTAGACGAGGCGACATCTGGTCCCCCACACCCGGCCACTCACCCGGACGACTCTCCTCAGGGAGCCAATGCCTTGGGTACTCCAGCTGGTCCCTGGGGCTCCAAGTTCCGTATCTCCTTGAGGCAGGGCCAGCTTCCGGCCCTGGAATGCTGGCTGTTCATGCAGCATCCAGCTGTGGGCACAGAGACCTAGGGTCACTGAATGGAGCGGGGTGGGGGGTCGTGGGGAGGATGTCCCCGCAAGGCAGGGTCTCTGGGTAGCTATGGGGGGCTTCTGCCCTCAGTGGGCACTTCTCACTGTCCTCACATCCCCAAGGTTCACATGCTGGAGCCCGTCGGGAGCTCCGCACTCACCAGCCTCGGACCACCCGTATGGAGGCCACACGGGCCCAGCCGGAAGCATCATCAGCGTCTTCCCAGACCTCCCTGCGGCTGCCTTGGCAGCCAGGCTCTGAGAAGAGGATAATCTGCAAGAAGGCCCAGAGGGGTCCTCAGGGCCCGTCCCCGGAACCCCCGCCTCCTGCTCTCCCACCCATTTGCCCCCCGACCCCAGTGCCCCCTACCTTTCCAGGCCTGGTGTTCAGCTTGCCCTGGGTCTTCAGTGCTGGACTCTGGAATAGAGAGCCGTGATACGTCTTTATGGGGTTGCCTCCTTATTGCCTCTCTCAACCTGCCGCTCCAGGAATCCCATATCCTCCCTGCAGGACTCCACCCCGCAAAGACCTGGCCCATAGAGGATGCTACACTTGCTCCCAGCCCCCAGGGGCTTCATCACTCTGTCCCAGGAACTGTCCCCTTCCCCAGCTTCTGAGATTTTATCAAGCCCTTCGGAATCTGCAGTGCAAACAGCCTGCTGCTCCGGTCGGGAGACTCTGCCTCTCAGGATCCCGGTCCTCACAGGATCCAAACCCTGGCCCAGATGAGGCCAGGCCCCCCTCCATTGCCCGCCCAAGGCCTCACTCACCCACCCCTCCGGGGGCCGGGCACGTGCCAGCTTCTCTGGAGGCGGCCTTTCGCTGGAGAGCAGGGGCAGCTGTCCTGGACCCTTCTTGAGCCCCGGTGCCCCGTGGGGTGGCAGAGCGGATAGTTTTGTGCCCAGTGGTTCCGAGGTGGGGGCCTCCTTCAGGGCAGGCACCAGACCCCCAAAGAGGAGGCTGCCTCCAAGACGGGAAGTGGGCCGGCTGCCTGCCTGCCACTCTGACCCCGGTTCTGGGTGGGGACCCTTGGCACCTGCTACATGCTTCTTCATCATCTCCAGAGGAGAGCAAGAGACCTGGGCGGGCCGGGCAGGGGAGGGGTCCCTGGGGGGGCTGGGCCTGGCTCTCTCCTGCCTGCGCTGGAGCTTTTCATCGTCACTCAGGTAGGGGTTCTCTGGCTCTTCTTCCTGCTCCTGTGCTTTCTCCTCCTTTACTTCCAGGGCGGGCGCCTCCTGGGGGCTGGGTCCCAGCACACATGGCCCAGGCTGGTCCTCCTCGATGGCAGGCAGGGTGGCGTACATGGCTAGGTAGGAGGAGCGGGGGGCTCGAGGGAGTCGGTGAGTGCGCAGGATCTCGGGCGGCTCCATGCTGCGCAGGGTATCCAGGAAAATCTCCAGGTCAGCGGTCAGGGTCACCTCCTCCTCCTCCCTCGATGGCTCCAGGAACGTCTTGCCCTTGGTGGCTTCAAGGACAAGCTGGGACTCCCGGCTGGCCTCTGCTCCCATCCTCACCGGGGCCGGGGGACCTCCTGAACCGGAGGATACCTTGCCCACTGAGGAGGGGGCGACAAGAGAGGCTGGGGCCTGGACAGCAACTTTCTGGGTGGAAGATGGGACATTAGAAGCACCAGGGTCCTGGACAACTTCTTTTGGGGTGGGAGATGAGATGGTGCTTTCTTCAGACCCCTGGACAACCTTTTCCTGTTTGGGGGATGGGACGGCAGGAATTGTCAGGCCTTGAGCAACCTCTTCCTTGGGGTGGGGAGGGACAGGGCTGCCTGCTGTGCTCCAGACGACCTCTTTCTGGCTGATTGGGCTGACTTCTGGGCCCTGGGTAACCTTGGTTGGTTTGGGGGCTGAGGCAGCAGGAGCACTCGGACCCTGCACTACCTCTTTCTGGTTGGGAGATGAGTCAGCAGGAACCCCAGGGCCCTGGACTATCTCTTTCTGGGTAAGGGAGACAACAGGGACTTTTTCAGAGTCCTGAACAACCTTATTCTTTGGGGAGGATGGAGCAGAAAGACCTCCTGGGCTGGTGATGGCCTTCCATCTCAGAGAGGATGGAGCAAGAGATTGTCCGGGGACTATAACAACCTCAGTCTTCACCATGGGCAGGACGGTGGCTGCAGGGGGATCTGAAAGCCCTTCTCTTTTGATGGAGGGCAGGGCCTGGGGTCCCCGGGGCTTGAGAGTGAGCTGGGCCCGAGCCTGAGTAGGTGCTTCAGGTTGCTCTGGGGGGTGAACTAGGCCCAGGGAGAGGGTTCGGGTCTGGAGTCTGGGAGAGGAAGGTACTGGGGTGTGGCCCTGAGAGGTCTGGAGAGGGGACTGGGTGGAGCTGGGGGTTCTCTGCACCCTTGGGACCTCATGGGCCCCGGCACCCAGGGCTCTGTCCTGCTCCTGGTCTGGGTGGGCTGCAGGGACCTCCTGGCTCGGAGTGGGGTGGGCCTCCTCCGGGAAGCCCACAGGGCCCGGGGCAGATCCGTCCTTCGGCTCTGCTGTCCTCGTCTCAGGCAGCTGCCTCAGGGCTGACCTTTCTGTGCTGCCCAGACCAGGACTCCTTGGCACAACAGCCAGGGGCCTGGAAAGTTGGCTGGTGGGGGCGGCCCGCTCAGCAGGCACAAGGCTACTTAGCAGCTCCAGGGCCTGACTGCGGCTGGGGGAGCCCTCAGCCCGGGGGTTCACCACCACTGCCCGCACCGCGCGGGCAACATTGCGGCCCCTTGGCAGAGCCTCGCCCGAGAGCGTTGGCCCCATGGAGTTGATCACGGTGCTGTTCACCCGTCGGTCCACGTGCCCGCCCACCATCACGGTGGTCCGCACGGTGCGTGTCACCCGTCGTTCCTCCAGGCTCCTGGAGCTCCCGCTGCTGAGACTCACACCCGGGTGGGGGCTTGGCTCCCGGGGCCCGTGCACCGGCACGGAAAACTCAGTCCTGGCTGTGGCTCCCGCGCTCAGCTCGGTCCTGGGGGGCTGGAGGCTGCCCTCACCCCGGTCCGCAGCCTCCTTCAGTCTTCCCACTGGCCTTTTCTCCTTGAGGGGGAGTGTGTACTTCTTGGAAAAGACGGGCCCGTGGCTCTGGAAGCTTTTGGAGCCAGCCCCATCCTGGCGGCCCTGATGGTTCACGGTTTCTTCCTCCCCGACAGCAAAGCCATTGACTTCCTCTCGATGATGGCTGGACTCAAACATCTCCTCGGAGGGGGCTTCCTGCCGGGCCCCTGACACCAGGGACACCTTGTGGAAACGGTGTTTGACCTCGTCCTGGGCAGGGGGCCACTGCCGCCACGTCAGCGTGGCGCTCACCACTCGGGCCTTGGCCTCAGCCGGGGGCCCGCTGGCCTCCTCCATGTTGGGCCCCGGCAAGGTGTCCTGAGGTGTCCTTGGCTCGCTGTGGTCCAGCTCACTGCAGAGGGTGCCAGGAAGAAAAAAGATGGGGTAGGGGGAGTGGAAAGGGTGGCTCCCTGCAGTATAGAATGACCACCTCTGCAGAGGTCAGACTGAGTAACCTCAGACCAGTCATTTGAGTTTCGGGGCCTTTGTTTCTTCATCAGTAAAATAGGCACAATACCCTCAGAGCTGCCACCCCCTCCCTACTTTCAGGCATTCTCTTATGCCAGGGTCCTTCAAGGGGTGAAGTTGAAGGACCTAGAAGGAGAGAGAGGAAGAAAAGAGACAGGCATGTGGATCCGACTCACTGGTGTGTGGACAGGGCTGTGACTCTGCCCAAGGAGCCCCGGGGCTAGTCCTCCAGGAGCTAAAAACTAGAATACCGGAAAGCTGAAAACTAGACAAGCAATGTTCTGACCCTGTTTCCGATCATGGTGAAGGAAGATGAGGAAAGACAGCTTTGGCCTCAAGTAAAGCTGGGTTCCCCCTATCCCTGTCACTCATTAGCAAGATGACCTTGGGCAGCCACTTTTCGCCGGCAAGTCTCAGGAACCCCAGCCAGAAAACTGGAATAACAAGAGTATGTGCTTCACAGGGTTATTGTCAGAATCCAGTATGAGAGAAAGAATAAAAACCCACTTTATTAGCTAAAATGCTGGCTTGTAAGTTTCCCCATAAAGAATAAACTATTCACTATGGCAAACAGTATGGAGTTTTCTTAAAAAACTAAAAAGTGAGGTACCATATCATCCAGCAATCCCACTCTTGGGTAAATATCCATAAAAGATGAAAACTCTAATTCGAAAAGATACGTACACTTCAACGTTCATAGCAGCACTCTTTACAATAGTCGAGACGTGGAAGCAACTAACGTGCCCATTAATAGATGACTGGTTTAAGAAGATGTGGTGTATAAATACAGTGGACTATGATTCAGCCATAAAAAAGAATGAGATATTGCCATCTGCAAAAATAGGGATGGACCTAAGGAGTGCTATACTTAGTGAAGTAAATCAGGCAGAGAAAGACAAACATAATGATATCACTTACATGTAGAAACTAAAAAATGATAACAAATGAATTTATGCATGGGAATTCCCTAGTGGTCCAGTGGTTAGGACTTGTGCTTGCACTGCGGAGGGTGCAGGTTCAATCTCTGGTCAGAACTAAGATCCCGCAAGCTGCACAACACAGCCAAAAAAAAATCTATGTGCAAAACAGAAAGAGACTCACAGACACTGAAAACAAGCTTATGGTAACCAAAGGGGAGGGGGAGGCATAAATTAGGAGTATGAGATTAACAGATACAAACTACTGTTTATAAAACAGATAAGCAGCAAGGATTTACTATATTGCACAGGGAACTATATTCAATATCTTGTAATAACCTGTAATGGAAAATTATTTATATATATATATATATATATAATGGAATCACTTTGCAATATATTAGTACTTGACACCAACACAATATTGTAAATCAAGTATACTTCGATTTTTAAAGACAGAATAGATTATTTATAAATTATGAACACACATTCCACTTCTGCAGATGTGGGTGGGGGGAAAGACTCAGAGAGGTTAGGAAATTTGCCGAGTCACACAGTAGCAGAGGCAAGGATTGAATCCAACCTGAAGTGGTGAACCACCAAATCAAACTCCTTAATGTATCTGGTAAACTAAGACTCTGTGGTTTGGGGGGGTTATTTTTAAAGGAGGCACAGCAGTCCTGGAGGGGTCCAGGCAGTCTCCACTCTGACTTCCAGGCTGCGCTGAGTAGGGCAATCCTATTCTCAGGCCTCAAGAACCCAAGAGATCAGCCTGTTTTGCGCCAGCCTCAGTACTGGCCTGTCTTCAGCTCCTCCTCTCTGTGAGGCAGCCCCCAGACCATCATAGGGGCCCTTAAGGCCGGAAATGGACCCATGCCCCCAATTGCCCTCCCCCTTTCTCCATTTCCCTCCCTCCTGAGAGGCTGATGGAACCCAGTACTTTGACCCTGTCTTGTGGCCCCAGAAGTGACTCAGGTTTTATGAGGGACAGAGCTGAATGGGGCTGAGGCCGAGGGAAGCCTGACCTGACTCGGGGACCACTGGTGGCTGTGACAGCATGTGGCCTGGTCCAGGATGGGCTCTGAGTGGCCCCAGGAAAGTCTTGTGTAGGAGGGAGGGGAGGGACTGGGAGGGATGCCCAATTCTTTCCCCAGGCCAGAATTCCTGACAGCTATACACTCAGACACCTGAGGGTCTGGATTGTAGCCCTTCCCTAAGGCCCAGCCCTCTCCTCTGTCCTTACTGAGGAGCTCTTTTGCTTCCAACAGAACCTCTGTCCTCCTGGCTGGTACTAATGATAACAACGATCATTCGCTGAGATTCACTATCCATGATGGCAGTGACAGTAGGGGGCAAAGCCTGGGTTCTAAGCCATGTATTCATTCCTTCACTCATTCATTCAGTGTTCATGGTGTTAGGTGATGTGCTGGGTTCTGATTGCATGTGTGCATGGTCAGTCATTTCAGTCGTGTCCCACTCTTTGTGTGACCTTGTGGACTGCAGCCCACCAGGCTCCTCTGTCTATGGAATTCTCCAGGCAAGAGTACTGGAGTTAGTTGCCATTTGCTCCTCCAGGGGATCTTTCTGACCCAAGGATGAAACCCGTGCCTCTTGCTTCTCCTGAACTGCAGGTTGATTCTTTACCGTTGAACCCCTGGGGAAGCCCCAGGTCCTGGTTAGTTTCATCCAAAGCCAATTTCTCTTGAAAGTGGTATTCTGGGAGTTCAGGGGTCAAAGAATTAGACATAAAAACAGGAACCACATTTGGAAGGCCTCCATAGGCTTTGGCAAAGCCACAGGAGAGTGGAAGAGGAAGCCATTGGTAATTGTATCAGATATGTCTATTACTTCCCAATAATCAGAATTCTATGCCTCTCTGAACCCAGCCCCCAGACAACACCCCTGATAGTCATTCCACAAGCATGTGCTCATTTGTTTCTGCCTGCATACCTCTAGGGACAGGGAGGTCACAATTTAACAGCTCACCTGTCCCATCCCTGAATAGCCATGATGGCTAGAATGTTCTTCACACTATGCAGGAATCTGCCTGCCTATAGATCCCCTGACCCCGTTTTGTCCTTCCTCTGAAGACACACCTCAAAACCCCAGGAGGCCTCTCCTAGGCCAGCCGAAATGCCCAATTCCAGAGCCCTCTCTTCTTCCAGGCCCTAGACCAGCCGGGTTACCTGTGACTTCCAGATCAGGTGTGTGGGGCTGGGGAAGGGAGTGGCTGTGGAGGGGGCCGGGGGAGTGTGGGAAAGAACCTTGTCTAACTCAACAAGGCCTGGATTCTCCCCGCTTACCTGTGAGTCACCCCCAAACTAGGCCAAACCAACCCACAGGCCCACAAGCACATGCTGCGTCACACACAGGCATGCACCAACACACAGGCACAAACACACACAGACACTTACCCTGGCACACACAGGCAGAACCACAGAGTCACACAGGTACTCAGGGACGTACACCCAGGGACACAGCAGACACACGAGTCGCACAGACGCGGAAACCCACAAGCATAATGACACGTGCACACACATTCACACACACACACAGAGTCAGTTCACAGTCTCCAGCCCTTCTCCCCTTGAAATTAACCCTCATTGGAACAGACATGCACACCCGGATGCGTGCACATCTTACATATTCGGCCCCAATCACGTCGTGCCTCCCCACCTCCTCCCCATATTTGCCAGTCCTGGCCCAGGGAACCCTGCCCCAGAAAGGGAGCACAGAGAAGAAATCACACCCCTGGAGGTCCACTTCCGTCCCCTCTGAGCCCTCACCTCCTGCAAACCTGTCATTATCCACCCGTGCCCAAAATAGTCAGGGAGTGGCAGACGGAGTCCCCCAGCCAAACCTACTGCCCCTTCCTTTCCCCTCGCCAAGGCCTGCCTCCTCCACCCACCTCTCCCCCCCGCTCCCCCCCCCACCCTTCAGGGTCTGCTTTAGACCCTGCTTAGCTCATCTGTTTTGAACTGACTCTTCTAGGATCATTGTAAGCTTTCTCAAGGTAGAGTTCTGCCTACCATGATGGAAAACTAATGTTGGTTAAAAAGAAAGAATTAGTTGTTCGGTGAAGGGAAAAGGGAAAAACAAATAGGGGGAGAGTGCATAATCAGGGATTCTTATTCAACTTTCCCCACCAAGCGGGTCCCTGAGCCAGCCTGGGTCGCACATATCCCTCTTCCGCATCACAGGATCATTATCCTGATCCAGCGCAGAGGCTTGGGCATCCCTGGCGTTGCCTCTGCTGTCACAGTGCTTCCAAATCTGGGTCCCTGAGCAGACGGTGAGTAGATTTCCCCCCACGTGGTCGCAGGAAGAAATCCCAGGTCACAGGAAGCTCTGTACAACAACCACCCTCACCCACACTCCCGGCCTGAGAGGCGGGAGAGAGGGGTGTTTAGAGCACGGATGCAGGTGTGCATGCTCACTTGCTCCAGTTGTGTCTGTCTCTTTATGACACACAGACTGTAGCCCACCAGTCTCCGCTGTCCATGGGGTTTCCCAGGCAAGAACACTGGAGTGGTTGCCATTCCCTTCTCCAGGGGATCTTCCCAATGGAGGGATCGAACCCGTGTCTCCTGCATTGCAGGCAGAGTTTTTTAACCGCTGAGCCACCAGGGAAACCCTAGAACACAGTTACCTGGGTTCAAATTCTTGTCCCTTCACTTTCTGGTTGACTTAGAGCAGATGATGAAACCTGTCTGAACCTTAGTTTCCCATCTGTCATTGGGGTGAGAGGGTGGAGAACAAGATTAGTCCTACTTCATGGGGCTGCTGTGAGGATTAAATAGAATTATGCTCAGAAAAGGAACCACACCATCATCAGTAGAAACTTTTCAGAATGCTGTCTAAGGCCCAGGATGTCCTTCCAAGTGGTTCTAGAGGGGTCTCAAGTTCACCCTGTTGTCAGTGAGTTTTACAGGACCCATCCTCCTTTCTCTGAGACCACCAGGCAGATTCAGGAGAATCATTTCAACACAAATTAAAAACCAAGGCTTAAAAAGAAAAATCGAGGCTTAGCAATGTTATGTGGCAGCCTGGATGGGAGGCGAGTCTGGGGAGAATGGATCCATGTATATGTATGGCTGAGTCCCTTTGCTGTCCACCTGAAACTATTACAACGTTGTTAATCGGCTATACTCCAATACAAAATAAAAAGGTTAAAAAAAAAAAACCCGAGGCTTGGGAACCTCAGCGCCTGTTCACCAACACAGGGCCAGGTGGGGTAATTATTGCTGCGACTGAAGCGTTATTAATAAGCATCCCAGCTGTCTTGGTTGCCCCACTCTCTAGAGTTCAAAGTATCTCCTTGTAACCTCCTCCTCCATCTCCAGTGACCAAATAAACCTGACGACTCAAGGCCCAGAGAAGTTAAGCAACTCGCCCCAGGACATCCAGTACCGCCTGAGAGTTCTCGTCTCAGGCTGAGAAAGTGGTCTCCAGAACAGAGGGGCTGGGGAAGGTGTTGCTGAGGATAAGGTGACCCTCCCCATCCTCTCTGCGACAGGATATCCCCCTCCCCAGGTGGACAGAGGAGGAGAGCAAAACTGGGTCCCCGGAGGTAGCCTATGGGCACACACGGGGTTGGGGGGCAGGCAACAGAGGGCAGAGATGGGAAGGGGAGGGGATGGCAGAGTCAGCTTATTGCCCGGGAGAACTGAATAAATGGTTTAGAGAAGCCCGGAGATGAGATAGAGACCCAGGAGGGGGCGGCCAGGTCAGTTTCCCCCTCCCCCGCCGCCCCACGTGGGGGTGAAATCCACTCACCGGCTGTGCGGGGACCCAGGCGGCCGGCCGGCCCGGAGCTCCTGCCGCTGGGCCATGCTCCCCTGATGTGGTGGGGCTCGGAGCTGGGGTTCCTGAGGCGGGTCAGCTAGGCACCCTGTGATGGGGCGGGGCCCCTGGGGAGGCTCCTGCCAGCCCCTGGATTCCTCAGGGCCGCAGGGGTGGGGAGCTGGTTGGGCCGGTTTGGGCTCTTCAGTCTCCTCCCCAGGTGCTTGCTCACGCCCCTGCAGGCTGACAGTGATGCGGTAGTAGCGGGTCCTCCTGGCAGAGGGACGCTCATGTAGGGTCTGGGCTGGCTCTAGCAGGGCTGGCCCTGGGCTGGTAGGCTCGCCCTTTGCCCCCTCTGCCCTGGGGCAGGACGCTGGGTGGGGCAGCATGTCTTCCAGGTTGCTGGGTGCCTCAGGCCACAGAGGAAACCCCCGGGCTGAGTGTGGGGGTTGCCGGCAGGTGTGGCCCGGAGGTCCTTGTTCCAAACATCCAGGCGCCGGCGGTGGGCCTGAGGGACCCCTGGCTCCAGCAGGCTCTCCTGAGGTCACTGCTGGTGCCAGGCTGTCTTGCCCCATGGAGGCATAGTTGGCCAGGTCAGAGGCGCTGCCTACAGCAGGTCTCTGGAGGCGCCCCAGAGGCTCCGCCGGCCCCCCTGAGCTGTGTCGTCGCTTCCAAAGCCAGGAGCCAAGGCTCCCTGCCCGAAGGTCCAACTCTGAGCGGCTCTGGGCTTCGGCCTGAGGGAAAGCAGAAGCAGAGACCTGATGACGGCCTCTCTGCCTGCCCCCTGGGTACCCCCTGACACCTCTGGCTGCCCTCCTTGGCACAGGAGAAGCTGAACAGAGGTCTGACACCAAGCGGAGCTGCCCTACAGAGAGGCTGCCAGCACCACAAGAGCTGAACAAAGAGGCAAAGGTCTGGAAAGTTCCTTCGGCATTTATCTCACCCCTTCCCATTCTACGTACGAGACGCTGACATGACCAAGGTCGCACAGTGAGGGTTCCTGACTCTCAGGCCGACTGCTGGTTTCCCAGGAGTCCACTGACTTCTGGCCCTTTGATACCAGCTGCCCTGGGGATTAGGACCTGTGTGGGCATGCCTGCCACAACGCCCCTGGCTTCTGCCCACTCCAGGCTCCCAGAGCCTGCAACCGCCTCTCCAATACCCTCCCAGCCTGAGTGTTCCAAACACACCTAAAGGAGGTATCGGGTATAGAGATGTTCTTGGGACAAGAGGAAGCCAGGGAAGAGGGTTCCCCTAAAAGTGGGACAACTCTGACTTCTGTCTGCTGTCTTCCCCTGGGGACCAGCCTAGCTGTGGGGGTGAGGGGAGAGGGTTCAGGACCACAGACCCAAATAGATACTGCCCCCCAAATGCCAGTCTTCAGGGATGGATTTGTCCTCGGCAACAGAGGAGCCAAATCTAGGGTCAAATTCCTTCTTAGCAGGGTGCCTTAATCCCAAATGCCTTATTTTACACATCTATGAAATAGATGCAGTCTCTCACTCCCCAGGGGCTGAGAATCTCAAGAAACAGGAAGGTTGGATGATTAACCTGGGAGTCTGGAGCAAGGCAACCTGGGCTTGATTCTCAGCACTGTTACTTTCTAGCTGCAATACCTCTTGCATGTTAGTTTCCCCATGTGTAAAATGAGCATGATAATAATAGTATCTGCTTCCTGGGAGTGCTGAGAATATTGTATGAGATTATCCATGCAGGGTACCCAGCAGTACTCAGTTAAACGCTAGCAATCACTGATGATGTTCAGGATCACAGAGAGACATATGGCTGCTTGAGCCATCTCTAGAGGAAGCCCTCTGCTCCTCCAGGGGATGGAGGGTGGGGGACCTTGCCTCTGTCCAATCCATGGCTCAGGTCCCTGCTGAGGATGGGGAAACTGTGGCCAGAAGGTTAAGCCACTGGCCCAGTGTCACCCCTGGGGGCCATGCCAGGATGTGGGAAAAGGGAGTCAAAGATGGGGAAGGTCAAGCTAAAGGAGGGAGTGTGGAAAATGGGGTCCTGAGAACACGTACTGCCCCTCCATGCCTCCTCCAGGGGCCCTGACATTAGGAAGCTGTTTCCTGAGCATCTGGGCCCCATGCTGGATGTCCTACATCTGATACCTTAATTCTCACAACAGCCCTGAGGTATGATTGTCCCCATTTTCCAGATGGGGAAGCTGAGGTTCAGAAGTGGAGTGATCTGCCCAGGGTCACAGAGTGAATCCCTGGCAGAGGAGGTATGAGAGAACTGCAGTTGCCTAACTTGTAAGTCAGGGTTCTCAGGGCCAGCCCAGCCCATCCCAAGAGCTTCTGCTCCCCTCCCCTCCCCTCCCCAACCCTAGGATTCTCTCCTACCTTGAGGCTGACTTTGCTGGTGCTGCCCTGGCCCTGGGCCAGGTCAGGGCAGCTCTGGCCACCCCAGGGCCTGGGAAGGAAGCACAGGGGAGGGAGTGAAGTAGGCTCCTTGTCTCCTGCCCCAGACTGGACCTGATGGCCCTTGTCTCTAAGGGCCCCCGCAGGGAGGATGAGCACCTGAAGTCTTGGGGGGCAGGGGAGGTCTATATGCACAGCCTTCTCTCTGCCCCCTCCCCCACCTGTCCACTCCAGCCCCAGGGACAGAGAGAAAGGGATGGGCCTGGAACAATATGGGGACTAGGCCTATATCAGGACCAGAATACAGAAAAAGGACAGTACCCTAGTAATTCAAAAGCTTGCCATTTGCTGAGGCCCACCCTATGCCAGGTTTAGCACTAGGTATTACACCTCCATAATCCCCTTTAAGCCTCACAATAATCCTAAAGGGTAGATAGCAGTGTCCTCATTTTTCAGATAAGGAAACTGAGGTCCAGAGTGGTAAAGTCACAAAGCTAGTGGAGTTAAGACATTAGGATGGATGGTCTCACTCCAAAGCCTGGCTGGGCATCACCCCTCTAACAGGGGCAAGAAGACGAAGGGCCTTGGCTGCCCACTCCGTGCACTCTGCCCCCTACTCCAGGCAACCAGCAGGGATCAGGGGCCTGTCCCTCTGAGCCAGAGTCCCATTCCCACGGCCAGTGAGAACCAAGTCCAAGTGCACACATGGAATGTATCATCAGGCTGGCCCCAGGAGCATGCGCAGTCCCTACCCGGCCCTCCCTCTCCCTGACTCACCTACAACCCTGCCTCCTCTCAAGCGGAGAAAGAAAGGGAGGAACAGTGCCATCTGGGCCTACAGGGCAAGTTCCTGCCAGATGGGGTAAAAGGAGGGGGTGTGTCTTCCAGGCTGGGCGCTGGCAGGGTGTGGGCACCCCCGGGCACCCAGGCTTCCAGGTTTAGGGTGGCTAGACCCTACCGTCCCTGCTCTCTTTGGTGTGAGAGCAGCACAAACCCCTTCCCTCACCCTGGGCTCAACCAGGCCTGCACTCCTCCCAGGGCAGGCCGGAGACAGCTACATCGATAAGATCAGAACTGCGAAGACACTCGTGCCTGTGATCACTCCTGACGTTCTTTGCAGACATGGGGCCTGTGAGCTCCTGGGGCCCTCTTCTCTATCCCTGTCTCAGCCATTCAGCCTGGCAATCCATACAGCCTTTTCTCTGCCTGTCACACATCAGCTACTGGTGAACTGGCTAAGAGAGATGTAGCGATTTGTTCGAGCTCATGTGGCCAGTGGCCTCTAGGGTTAGGACAGAACTCTGGCCCTCTTGCTTGAGTTCTGAAATCTCTCAAGGCAACAGAGCAGCCTAGGGCTTCAGGCTGTGGGCCCTGGAGTCAGACTACAGAAGTTTGTGTCCCAGCCCCACCAGTTCTGAGCTGTGTGACTGGAGAGGTGACATCATGTCTCTGAACCTCCATTTCCGTATCTGACTCACACAAAATACCTGCCTGGTACAGCTGCTGGGAGGATTAAATGAGATAATCCAGGAGAAGCATCAAGCAAGTGGCAAATAAGTTTATTGTTAATACAATCTAGGAAGATGGGGAAAAGCCTCTTCATGTCATGAAAGGGCAAATACAGTGCAGTCTAAGCCAACTCAGGAGCCTGTCATACTCATGACAAAGTGACATGAAGACCAGAGTTAAACTGGCCTGTGATGAGAGAATCAAAGTCCACAAGGGCAGGAGGTGCCACAGTATTTGCCTTTCAATTATCTTCAGAGAGGAAATCAGGAGTTCCCTGGCCACCCGCCAGACTTAGGAAACTGCAAAATTGTTGTAAAGGTTTTAAAAAGTACAGGGATTTTATAAAGTCCACATACCCCAAATCGTAGTACACGGGTCGGTATATTTTAATGCTCCCAGTCACTCAGACAAGCTTACTCAAACATCCACTGCACACTCCAAGACACACATCTACACCCTCGGGCCCAGGGGCGCCCGGGGCGCCCCTCCTCCAAACCCCTCACCTATCCCGGGATCTGGCCTCCTCCGGGGTCCGCTTCCCCTTGCGCTCCCTCCGGACCCTTAGCCCGGCCAGGCGGCGAGCCAGGCGGGCCCCTAGGCCCCCGCGCCGCTCGGCCATGGCGAGGGCAAGGTCCCGGGCACTGACTGCTCCGGGGCCGCGGGGGCCACCCGGATCCCGCTCATTTGCAGAGATACGCCTCCTCCGGCCCGCACCCCCTGAGCAAACAGCGCCCAGCCCGAAGTCCGTGTGGGCGGGGGAGTGGGACCGATCCACATACTGCCCAAGCTCCAGGGCTAGGGGCTGCGCTCTGCAGGGGTCGTCTCCACCCCGCCCACCCCCTCTCCCCCCGATCCTCCCCCGCACCCCTGCCCCGCTCCCGGGGACCCAGCTCCTGGCCCTGACCGCGCTACGTCTTTAGGCCTCCGGAAGCGCCAGGGGACCCACTGGTCAGGGTGCTGAAAGACCTCAAGTTGGGCCTGCACAAGGTGGGCGGGAAAACAGGGCCAGGAGGTTAGACCGAGCCCAGGGTCTTTTCAGCGCCCCCGCCCCGGAGGAGGGGCTAGAATGCAAGGGCGGAGCCAGAGGCGGTAATGGGCGTGGTCTTGGGGTTGCCTAGCCTGAGTGGTTGGCTTGTTGGGCGGGGCCAAGCGGTTGATCGAGTGGGTTTGGAACCTAGTCCGTGATTATTGGTAGGGACGGAAGCCAACCCTGCCCTCGCCCTGCTGGTGAGACTGCCCAATGAGAGTGAGCTATCTCTCGGTCCTGCAGACCCTAGGGCACAGCGAAAATCTCGTCCTGTACCGTGGTGGGGAAGCCAATCTGAAACTCACAGGTATGCCCCCTGCTGGAAGTTGGCCAGCTATTAATATTTATAACCGTAGACTGCCAGGCTCCTCTGTCCATGGAGTTTTCCAGGCAAGAATCCTGGAGTGATTTGCCATTCCCGTCTTCAGGGAATCTTCCCGACCCAGGGATCGAACCTGGGTCTCCCACATTGCAGGCAGATTCTTTACCATCTGAGGCAGCAAGGAAGCCCAATAATAATTATTTAATAATTTAAAAACTGGCTTAACATTCAAAAAACTAATATGGCATCCATGATCTTCATGGCATGATTTCATGACAAACAGAAGGGGAAAAAGTGGAAGCAGTGACAGATTTTCTTTTCTTGGGTTCCAAAATCACTGTTGGGCTTCCTAGGTGGTGCTAGGGATAAAGAACCCACCTGTCAATGCAGGAGAAATAAGATCCTTGGGTTGGGAAGATCCCCTGGAGGAAGAAATGGCAACCACTCCAGTATTCTTGCCTGGAGAATCCCATGGACAGAGGAACCTGGCAGGCTACAGTCCATAAGTCGCAAAGAGTTGGACAAGACTGAAGAGTCTTAGCATGCACGCAAAATCGTTGCTGATGGTGACTGCGGTCATGAAATTAAAAGATGCTAGCTCCTTGGAAGGAAACCTATGACAAACCTAGAAAGCATGTTAAAAAGCAGAGACATCACTTTGCTGATAAAGTTCTATATAACCAAAGCTATGGTTTTTCCAGTAGTCATGTAGGATATGAGAGACTATAAAGCAGGCTGAGCACCAAAGAATTGATGCTTTTGAATTGTGGTGCTGGAGAAGACTCTTGAGAGTCCCTTGGACTGGGAAATCAAACCAGTCAATCCTATAGGAAGTTAACCTTGAATATTCACTGGAAGGACTGATGCTGAAGCTGAAGCTCCAATACTTTGATCACCTGATATAAAGAGCCGACTCATTGGGGAAAAAACCCTAATGCTGGGAAAGACTGAGGGCAAGAGGAGAAGGGGACAACAGAGGATGAGATGGTTAGATAGCATCACTGACTTAATGGACATGAATATGAGCGAACTCCAGGAGACAGTGAAGGACAAGGAAGCTTGGTGTACTGCAGTCCATGGGGTTGCCAAGAGTCAGACTTGACTTAGTGATTGAACAACAACAAATTATTACTTAATAATAGCTACTGTTGTGATTATAACCTGGGCTTCCTATACCCCAAAGGGCAGTACTCTTTCCCATCTAATGCCACCACTCTCTCGGGGGGAGGGCACACTTCACATACCTGAGGGGTTCCTCTGGGACTCCAGGGAGAAAAACCATCAGGAGGGCCCTAGTTCCCAGGTTCTCTCTGCCAGTTCTTCCCTATCTCTAGTCCTTGTGGGGCCTCTACCCCTTCCCCAAGCTCGGTACCCCCTTAGCTGTTTGTCCTCTGGGATGACTAGTCCTTGACACACAGGGGGACATCTTGCTTCTGGGTCATGAGTGGACCCTGACATCCCTGTATTCCTGCCTCTCCCACAGGAGGCTCAGATCCTGGCATGTACAGAGGGAGATGAATGTGTCCCATCCAACCATGGCAGGGAGTACCAGCTGAGGGGGCACAGTGGCCTCTAGAAACTGAGAGACAAGGAGGTTGTGGGAAGCAGCAGTCAGACATCTGGACAGGTGCTGGTTCAGAAAAGAGTGCCCTATGCTCAGCACCACAGCACCACAGTCTGCACCCTGCAGAGACCTGGAAGGCTGAACTGTCCATCAGCGAGCTGAGATGGAGGGCCTGGTCCCAGATAGGTCCCAGAGAGTGGAGCTCAAACCCAGCCAGAGGTAGATGGCTGCAGGCACCCCCCAACACACACACATACACACAAACACACACACACACACACACACAGTGGGCAGCATAGTCTCTTCCTGCCTGTGTCCCGTGACCTGCCAGGTGGAGTGGGACGTGAAGTCTGACAAATACACTCTGACCTCCCCCTGCACTATTGAAGCTCAGGAGGCCTCAATTCATCGTAGAGAAAATCCTTTCATTGCTCTGCTCCTGCCCCCTCCCCAGGGCAGACCTAGCACCCTGGCTTAGGCCCTTACTTGCCCCGGGATGCTGAGGACACCTTGACCTTGTCCACGTCCCAGTCCATCTGCCTCTCTGATGGCACTGCCAGAAGATCTAGGGCCCCCTGATGCCAGCGGGCAAGGTAGGTGAGAGATGCCAGGGGCAGGTGGGTGTGAGCCAGACCGCAGGGCCGTGAGGCATGCAGACGAAGGTGCAGCTTCAGATGAACGAGCTGGGTGAAGCGACTTGGGCAGACACTGCACTGGAAAGGCCGCGCCCCCGAGTGCAGGCGCAGGTGGGTCTTGAGGTTGCTGGAGCTGCTGAAGCGCTTGTGACACATCTGATGGGAATGGGCACTGGTATTAGCTCTGCCTGCCTGGTTCACCCAGGATCTCTGCTCCCCCCTCCCCATCTTGAAACCACCCACCCCCCCACCACCACCTCCCTGTGATGCAGGCCTGGAAGCTTTCCCCCATGATTCCTCCCTGGGACCACGGTATCTGGCACATTGGAGCCAGGCAGACTGGGTCAGTACCCTGGTTCTTCTACTCCCTGCATGACCTTGTGCAGGAGACATGACCTTGTACTCTGAGCCTTGCTCTCTTGATGGTTGACATGAGACTATTAATACCTAAGCTCGTAGGCATGGAGGACTGAATGAGATAATCACACAGAACCCTTAAGCTTGGGGCTGCAGCTTCGGTGCACGTAATTAACATTTACTGGGAGCTGCCGCGTGCCACGGAGAAGGCAATGGCACCCCACTCCAGTACTCTTGCCTGGAAAGTCCCATGGACGGCGAAGTCTGGTGGGTTGCCGTCTATGGGATTGCACAGAGTAGGACACGACTGAAGCGACTTAGCAGCAGCAGCAGCAGCAGCCGAGTGCCAGGAGTTGGTCTTATGTAGTCTTCTCCAGGACTGGAGAATCGGGACTAAGCACTACTTCTATATTAACAGGGAACATGCAGAGGCTTAGAGGAATGAGGCCAGTAGCCAAAGCTCACATAGCAAATTGGAGGCGGGGCTAAGATTTGAACCCAGGTAGCCTAGACTGTCACCATTATGCTGCTTTCGTTTCTGCCTCTGTAAAACAGGGAAATACTTCTGGCCCTTCCGAACTCCCTGGAGACATGGTGAAGCTCAAAGAGGGAGGGAGCTAACACTGAGCTGATGTTATCACTAGTGTTCATAGACTTTGCACACACACTAGCATTAACTCCTCCCACTATGCTGGGAAGTCGCCAAGGGGTGTCCGCTCCCCAGGACCTCCAACTTCATTCTTTTCCACTCCCAGACATACATCTCTATTCTCCCCTCCAGGCCCAGGGAGTGTCCTCCAGTAGCGCACCCTGGCCCTTCCGTTCCCCTCCCTCCCCCCAACCTTGCCTCCTGCCCAGCACCGTTTTCTCAGGACAGTGGAGGAATGGAGGCCACAGGTGCCATCCCCCAGGGGCCTAGCACTCCTCCCCAGCCTGCAGGAGGACAGGGGAGGGGGCGGAGGGTCTCACCGGGCACTCGTGGGGCCGCTCCCCAGTATGCACCAGGTGGTGCTTCTGCAGGTGGGCAAGCTGGGTGAAACTCTTCTGGCACAGGGCACACTGGAACGGGCGTTCCCCGCTGTGCACACGCAGATGGACCTGAGCCAGGTGTGGGAGAAATGCTGTCAACCGCCCAGACCCCCCCATCAGGGCCAGGGATCCTCTTCAAATCTCTACCCTCATCCCCGCAGGACCCCTTTTTGGCATCAAGGCCCTTCAATCCCCCTGCCTCTGTATCACCTCCCTGAAGGCCAATCTACCGTTCCCCAGGCTCCCCTCGCGCTCTCTGCTGCCCTGCTGGAGGGAAGATGGAGGTGGCCAAGGTCAACAGGCCAGGTAAGGGGTACCCCATGTGTACCCCCTTAGATATATATCTTGTGCAGTGCTTCTCAAAGTGTGGTCCACAGACCAGAAGCATCAGCATCACGTGGGAGGGTGTTAGAAAGGCAGACTCTCAGGCCCCACCCGCAGAGCAGCTGAACAGAAATCTCTGGGGCTGGGGCTTAGGGCAGGCCGAGGGCTGGGGCCAGCTCTCCAGGTGGTTTGAGGCTCATTAACATTTAAGAACTCATGCCCGAGAGGATGCAGAAGATCTGTTCTCCAACAATCAGTAAATTTTCCTCTATTTCAGCAGGTGCCAACTTGCCCCTAACGTCAGATCTTGGCCGATAGAGAGATACGTCCATGGTCTCCCCCTTCTGGAAGATGCCTATAATGACGCCTACAGCACACTGCTGTTGTGTTGGATCCCAATTGAAAAAGGCTGGTTGTCAGGTCTAGATTCACTAAAATTCATCTGTTCCCCGACCTGACCTTTAAATAAATAAACAAGAGGAAGATTACCAGGGAATCAGAGAGCATGACTCTTCAAGAAAGAACTTTGCCCTAGATATTGAGAGACTCAGATGGAGACCTGGCTGCACCCTTAAATCAAGGTAACCTTGGAAACATCTTTCCTCGGTTTCTCTATTTTTAGCTGAAATGAGACGATCTCATGGACAATCTTTGGTGTGGAGAGGACTCCTCTCTACAGTGAAACTGCGAGGTCAAATGAGCCAGCCAAAGTCACAGGCCCTAGAGGTTGCCTTGGAGTTCCCCCTGCCCCAGGTCCTTGATTCTAGAAGCAGGATGGGAAGGGGTCATCGAAGGATGCCCGGTGGGAACCCTGGGGGCCTGGAGGCAGATACCTTGAGGTTGGAGAGCTGCCCGAAGCTCTTACTGCACACGTTGCACTCGTACAGGATTCTGCCGTTCTCTTTCTTCAGCGGGTAAGGCAGCGCTGCAGAGCCAGCCTGGGAGCCCGGCGGGGCCCGCTTTCCTGCAGCCGCCCTGCCAGCCCGCTCCGGTCCCGTGGAGTAGGTCCTGGCAGTGGCAGGGCCTGGATTCTGACTCTGGGAGGGTTGGGTTTGGCCAGAGTCTTGACAGGCCCCTGGGTAGGGGCGCAGGGTCTCCGCCCAGGTGCTGGGGTGCTCAGGCTCATTGACGTTAATCAGCAAGCTGGGCACAGCCATGGTGGCATATGGGGTGTCTTGGGGCAGCTTGAAGAGGGGGGGACACTGCACTGAAGGTAGGCCCCCCCACGTGACCAGGTAAGGAGGGGGCAGGAAAAATGGGTAGGCAGGGTAGAATGGGCGGAAGTGGGAGGAGAGTTCTTTGGAGTTGGGTGGGGGTGTGGAGCAGGAGCAGAAAGCCAAGGGGCTCTTCTTATTTTGCCAAGAATTTAGGGAAGAACTGTTGGGAGGAGAGAAGGATGGGCAGGGGGACCCCTTGCCAGCTCTTTCTGTCTGGCTTCCCATCTTGTCCCTGCTCGGAGGACACTTGGCTGGGAGTTTCTCGCCATTGGAGGAGCTGGCAGGCAGCCTTGGTGGCAGGTGCCCTGAGCAGAAAAAGGAAGATGGTGAGGGCCACCCAGCCTGGGGTCAAGGTCAGCTCTGCACCTAAGCTGCCTGGCTCCGACCTGAGAGAGGACTGTAGCCTGCATGGCATCTCCTTTCTCTGGGCTTTCCTGGTCTGCCATCGCCCTTGCTGATAAAGAGGCTGGCATTTGTAAAGTGTGTAATCATTTCAGGGAGTGAAAATGATTCAAGAAGCCTATTAGACATGCAGGTAGAGAAGTCAGAAGGCCAGTTGGATGAATTGGTTTAGACATTAAAGGAGCAGCCTGAGCTGGAGACAAAAATTTGGGTGCCAAATGAGATCACATAAAGGATGGTCCTAGATCTGCTGTGTCCAAAACGGTAGCCACCGTACACCTTTAAGTACAAAAACAAACAAACAAAAAAAAACCAGCTTCTCATTTGTACTAGCCACATTTAAAAGGCTCAGGTGTCAGATAGCACAAGTGCAGAACCTTTCTAGTATTGCAGGAAGTTTCAACAAACTGCTAAAGAGAACAGGAGAGAAGAGGGGAAGAATGGAAGAGAGGAGAGGAGGAGAAGGAGAAGGGATGAGGGGAGGGACGAGGAGGCAGCCCTGGACGGAATTCTTGAGCATGGGAAGACTCAGGAGGGTAAGTCAAGGAGCGCTAACAAGGGAGAGTGAGGTGCAACAGCCGGTGAGGTAGGAGTTAAACTAGGAGTGAGATCAAGTAAAATACTAAATGTGTATCAATATTCAAAAGTAGATTGTCTGCTTGGATCCTCACTGATTGCGTCAACCAGCTTTACTGGGCTGTGTTACTCTGTGCTGGACACAGCAACATGGTCCCTGCCCTCCAGGTTGAGTTGCATAAGGAACTGGTGTACTGTAGGCAGTAATCGTGGAGGTATAGTGAGAGGGTCCTTTTGTGAAAGCAGAAACTGGCTTCTGTGATGTGCTCGAGGTCAGAGAGCTAGAAGGGGCAGAACCACCCCCCGACTCCCTGCCTCCCAAGCAAGCTTCCTGCCTGATAACACAGGCCCCTCTAGCTCAAGTGTTCTAAGCAGATAGAGCACCCACCCTCAACTCCTGGAACTGTGGCTACACCTCCACCAGATCCCACACCCATGCCTGAGAAAAACCACTGCCCACCTCCTCTGCTCAGATGTCACCACCTGAGAGTTCTACACGAGCCCAGGCCAGAGCTCCAGATCAAAATGTGGAAGCAGCATATACTTGAGGCTCCGTCCTCACCTGGGACCCTGGGTCTGCTCCGTCTCTCCTCCTCAAACCTAACAATACTCCCCCCACCTCCCACCTCCCCCAGGTGCGGCCCTGCGCCCTGGGCTTACGTGTGCTCAAAGCATCCTCTCTGAGACCCCGCGGGGCTGCTGCTGGGGTTGTCGACTGCAGGGCGCACAGGTATAGGTCCAGGCCCTGGGGGCAGGCCAGCAGGGCAGACTTGGCTGGTGCCAGAGGCCATGGGCAGAGCCAGCTGGCCCAGGACTGGCCATGAGGATCCACTGTGTCTGGATGTGGCTTGAAGGCTGGGAAGACCTGGTAGGCAGAGGGAAGGGGCTTGGGGGGTGGGGACTGGAAGTCCGCTGAGATGGTCCCACCCCTAGTTTGATTTCCAAAGGGGAAGGAGAAGCTAAGACCCACACCCTCCCTCACATACACACATACACTCACCTCTGCCATATCCATCCCTCAGAGGGCTTTCCCTTCCCTCATCCACATTTCCTTTCCAAGGGACTTACACGTCCACCCCCAGGGTTGCCCTACCCCTGCCCCAGAAACCCCCACCCAGCCCTGTTCTTCCCTCCCACCCATCCTTCCTCACCACCCTCATCCCACTCTGTCTCAGACTATCTACCATGTTCTCAATGGATCCAAGGTGAACTTAAGAGAAAAACCCCTCATGAAAGACTGTGTACCCCACAGGAGGACCCTGAGCCTGCTCCAAGGCCCAGGCCCCCGTGGCACTCAGCTCTGCATGGCCTGTCCCTTCTCATGTCCCACAGAGAGTCTGGCCCTGGGGCATGGGAGCGGGTCTCTGGCACCTCTGAGGGAGCGTTCTTGTGAGGTGCTGGGGTAGAGGTGCTCAGAACCAGGAGAATCCAGGTCCCTTCAGATCCACCCCCCACCCCACTTCCTAACCTCCCCTCCTTCCAGAAGCATCCTGGGCTCAGAGATAGGACCGGAACCTCACCTTACCTGGCCATCTTGGCAGAGCTGGGAGTCCAGGCGGGGGGACAGAGAATCCCCTGTGCTCCCCAGGAGCTTGGTCTTGTGGCAACAACCCAGCTCTGGAGAGGGCTCCCCCTTCATGCCCCTGCCACCTACTGGGAAGACAGGTCAGTCACAGGTGAGCAGTGAAGGTCCTCCAAATAGGAGCCTGACTTCCAGGGCCGGCTCTCCCGGGAAATCACTGTGTGACCTTGAGCCAGTCACTGCCTCTCCTGGCCTCAGTTTCTTTATCTGCAAAATGGGAGGGTTGGAGTGGCTGACGTGAAAGGACTCTCTCGACACCGACATTTAGAAGCCAATGACGCTCTCAAGTAGAGACAGGAAGAAGCAACGTCTGAGCAACAACTGGATGGAGGCTGGCCAGTCAGAGGCGAAGCGGAGAACTGGCCTGATCCCCATCCCTGGGGAAGACAGGAGGGAGAGAGGTCTCATGGAGATACTTCCAAGTGAGCTCAGAGATCTGAGGAAAACGTTCCAGACCTCCTCGGGGGCCACAGGGAACTGAGAGTCTAGTGTCTTCTTTGCTGCGAGGGGCTGATGTCTCCACGACTCTATCAACCACAGGCTCCCCACCTACATCCGAGCTCACCTACCAGCTTTGGGGGGCAGCTGAGGGAGCCCCAGTGTCCTGTCACCCAGATTTTCCAGGCTCAGCTCCCTCAGCCGCGCTGGTCTGAGCAAGTGGGCTCGGGGTTCCCCCGTCCTGACTGGCTTGACAGGAAGCTGCGTAGTGACAGCTGTCTGCTCAGTCAGCAGCCCGCTTCTCCGCTGGTCACTTCCCTGAGGGTCGCACAGCCCCAAGGCTCCCCTCCTTCTCCTCCCTTCGCCCTCTCCCCTCTGTAACCCCAGCGCCCCTCAGAGCCTGGCGGCCTTATGTGGGTGTCTCAGTCCTCTGAAACCCGTCTCTTCTCCCTCTGCCCTGACTCCTCCCCACCCTGCCGCAGGTCTCCAAACACCGCAGGAGGAGGCGCGGCCCCGCGCGAGGCTCTTCACCTGGCTCTGCAGAAGTCCTCTCTGGCTGGGGAAGGAAGCCGCTGGGCAGGCGGGCAGCCAGCCTCTCTGCCTGTGTCTGAGGCCCCCGTGGGTGTGAGAGGTGACAGGAAAGCACTACATTTGAAGTTGCCACAAATAGGAAGAGGGGGGCTGGCAGGCAGGCAGGGGGCCCAGTGGGACCTGAGACACCGGCGAGCCGCCCACCAGCCTTTGCCTACCTGAGACCACACTGTAGGAGCTGGGGGCCACAGGAAACTGGGGCTACCGGAATTTTAGTGTGGGGGATGATGGAGTGGGGAGGAGCCTTAGCTGTGGCTCTCAGGGAACCCCTATGGCTGAGCAGGAGGGGGACGGAGCAGGGCTCAGAGGCTGGAGCTGGGGTCCTTTAGGGAAGGGGGCCCAGCTGAGACAGGGACGGGTGGTTGGCAGAGAAGACAGCAACGGGAGTGGCACGGACAGGAACAGGCAGAGACAAAAGCAGGCAGCGTAGGAGGAAACAGAGAGAGGCAGCGGGGTGAGCAGGAATCTGATCTCGCACAGCAAAGGCCCCAGAGGGAGCAAGTACGTCTTCCTCCTCCTCATCCCATCTCCGATTTCTCTGTCCTGGGAACCTTTTCTCCAATTTAGATAGAATGCTGAGGCCCCCACTGGGTGAGAGAAAAGCCAGAGACATGGCAAAATGCCCATGAAGCATGACCAGGTATCGAAAAGGGAGGCCCCTTAGGCCAGAAACAGCTTTTCCAGCTGAGCAACTTCATCACTGCCGAGAGCTGAGGAAGGTTCATCTCCCCCGCCCTCACACAAATTCTGCCCCCGGTTGGTGTGTCCGCAGCGTCTGGCCCAACGCGGCAGCCCAAGCCTCAGGCTCCATCCGGCCACGCCACCAGGTGTCATGGAATGCACAGGGACGTCTCAAACTCCATGTGAGCAAGGGACGTGTTATTCTGCCGGCTTGGCCCCTGGCTGATACTCACTTGCACTATGGCCCCCACCACTTCCTGTCACCATCGTTTACCCACATAACTGACCCCTACATGTCTGTATCTCAAGGACAGGGACCACTCTCTACTTACTCTCATTTCCCATGTAGACATTTCCCAGGTGTTTTGGATGCCCAGCACCTGGAATTTTCTCTCACTAGAGGCTGGAAGGAGGCAGAAGGCACATTCCACTATAAAAGCCGGAAAGGCAACAGGCTGAATTTCGACCTCCTCGCCCCAACACATGGTGCAGGCACGTGCCATGGACCAGACTGACCACATGTACCCATCCAGACTGTGATCAGAAGCCAGTGGTCCCGAGGCGGCAGATTGAGGGAGCCCACTCTGTGGATGGTGCTACGTCAGCTTCCAGGAGAGCAGAGTTTCAAAGAGGGGGGTTCAGGCAGGTCTCACAGTCCTCTCTGGGCTGTCCAGCCGCTCTTGATCCAGCCTGTTCTCCAAGCCTGGCTCTGCAACCTTCGCAGAACTTCTCTGCACTCCTCCAACATCTTTTAAGTGAGTTTCTTCTCTCTCTGTTATTGTTGTTTCTTTGCTTTCTTTTCTTTGTTTGTGAAAACCTGGGCCCTCGGCATTGAAAGCACAGAGTCCTAACCACTGGACCACCAAGGAATTTCCTCCTCTCCTTAAATCCTCCAGAAATGGTTTCTATAGCATACAACCATGAATTCTGCACTCTACATGCCCAGAATAGATGAAGCATCAGGCTCAGGTTGGACTATTTCAAGGATTAGAGTAGAGAGCTACCTTTACAAACAGCTTACTATATGCCTGCCACTGTGCTTGTCGTTGCTCAGTTGCTAAGTCGTGTCTGACTCTTTGCAACCCCATGGACTGCAACACGCCAGGCTTCACTGTCTCCCAGAGTTTGCTCAAACTCATGTTCAATGAGTCAGTGATGTTATCTAACCATCTCATCCTCTGCTGCCCCTTCTCTTCTGGCGCTCAATCTTTCCTAGCATCAGGGTTTTGTCCAGTGAGTCGGCTCCTTGCATCAGGTGGCCAAAATATTGGCACGTATTACGAAGCTAGGGGCTTCGTAAATGTTCTCTTTTCGTCTTTTATTATCCCCATGATGAAGGAACCGAAGCTCAGAGAGAGTAAGCGACTCACTCAGAGACATAGAGCAAATAGCTAAGTGCTGTCTAGTCCCAACCCTCAGATTCCACTGTCTCTCGGCAGTGTCAGACCACCCCCACTGCTTCATTTCTGTCCCTCATGCTCTTTTCAAATGTGCCATTCCCAGGGCCCAGATCATCCCCGCCATCCTCCCCTCCCCCTACCCCATCCCAGTTGCCCTCTCGCATCCTTCAGATTAGCTGAAAGGAGTCCTTCCCATGGTGCTCTTTGCCCTCTTGGTTGACCAGAACTCTACTCCCGCCAAAGGCCACAGCCCTCCCGGCCTCCCAGGTCACAGCCTGCCTCCCAGGTCACAGCCTGCCTCCCCTCCAGCTGTGCTGCAATCAAGGGGAGCAAGAAGTTCACTGAGCACCCACGGGAGTGCCCCCCCTTCTCCCAGGAGGATTCACATACACGTTTGTCTTCCATCTGCCAACTCCACTCCCTCCTCCTGGCATCACACTCTGCTCCCAACTCACAGAATGGTCTGTACAACCTCTTGGTTAGGAACCAAAATGGCTGTGGAGACTTTCAGGTCTCCCACCCCTGAAAGGACTGGCTAGGAGTGTCCTGGGAGGAGGACACAGTCCTTCTACACAGGTAGCCTCTACCTGCCAATCTCTTCCTTGTTCCTAACTCTTGGGCCCTGCCAAGTCCTTAGCCTTGTCAGCCTCCAGGCCCACTGTGATGTCACTGGCTTAACTGTGAGGTCACCACGTCCCACATCCCCCTGAGGAGTAGCACAGGCGTAGGACCTTGGCCTCCTAACTGGGGAAAAAAACCACACCAGTGCCTGAACCCAGATGAGAGACCCAGGCCAAGCAAGTCCTGTAAGACCAGAGAGGCCTTGGGAAGTGACTGTGGAGGGAAGGTAGGGTTAAGAGGCCTCCAGGGACAAGCAGAAGACACCAGGGAGGCCTCAGAAAAGGATCAGCTTCTGGAGCAGAAGAGCTGGAGGGGTGGACGTGGATCCTCAAACCCCTGGTCCACTGTGCACTTACTTTCTTCATCTTTCTGTGAGTTACAAGATAATACAGATGAATGGTCAGCGATTAAAACAGCAGGGAATATAAAGAAAAAAGTGTAAGCTCCCCTCCTTCCCAGTTTCCCAGAGGTCAGTGTGACTTTTTGATGTTAATCTTTCCAGACACCCATGAACCTACAAACAATAAATGGACTTCTAAATTTTGTTTTTATACATGAATATTAATAGATGATATGATAATACTATTCTGTAACTTTTTCTATTGACAGTCTACTGTGGCCATCATTTCATGCCAGAACATAACACACCATCTGTCTCCTGTCTTCTCCTGACTGCATAGTATTCCACTGCAGAGGAGTGCATGCGTGCCCTCTGGTGGACATAATATGTAGCATCCCTCTGTTGGTGGGCTCCAATTTTTCCCTGTGCCACACAAGACTGGAAAGGATTTCCATACAGAGGTAATACGCAGAATATTTTAGAATATTCACTGTCAGGCACAGAAAGATAGTTATTACATGATATCACTTAAATGTGCAGTTGAAAAATAATCCAAATGAATTTATTTACAAAACAAAAACAGACTCACAAACATAGAAGACAAACTTAAGGCTAGAAAAGGGGAAAGAGGAGGGGGAGGGCTACATTAGGAGTGTAGGATTAAAAGACACACATCCCTATGTATAAAATAGATAAATACATCCCTATTTATATATGTGTAAAATATATAGTAAAAGAATTTACTATATAGTAGAAGGAACTGTATTCAATATCTTGTACTAACCTATAACGGGAAAGAATTGGAAAAATATACATGTATGTATCTATGATTTTATTTATTTTTGGCTGTGCTGGGTCTTCATTGCTGCGGGAGCTTTCCTCTAGTTGAGGCGAGCGGGGACTTTGTAGTTGCAGGGTGAGGGTTTCTCATTGCAGTGGCCCCTCGTGCAGAGCATGGGCTCCAGGGTGAGCGGGGCCTCCACTTTTGGAAGTGGCCCCTCTTTTGCAGCACCTGGGCTCAGTAGTTGCAGCTGCCAGGCTCTAGAGCACAGGCTTGATAGTTGTGGTGCATCGGCTTAGCTGCTCCGAGGCCAGCGGGCTCTTCCCAGATCAGGTGTCTAGCCCGCGTCGTCTGTGTTGGTAGGCAGATTCTTCACCACTGAGACACCAGGGGAGCACCAGGTGGATGTGTTTTAAAGATGTTACCTCTGCTGGATGTCATCCCAGCTCTGTGACCTTACGGCAAGTCACTTAACCTCTCTGCCTCTTTCTCCATCTGTCAAGTGGGATAATAAGAGCGCTTGCCTCCCAGGGTTCTTTCAGTGATTCCTCAAGATAATTCGTGTAAAGCCCTGAGGACAGTGCCTGGCCCCATGCAAGCACTTGACAAATGTGGATTACTGTTAATAATGTACATCAATCTTTGCCTCGTTAGGCAAGTATCTGCAAGTCAGTTTCCTAAAAGCTGATGATGAATGTTCCTGGCTCCCTTTGGAAGACCAGAATTTAGGCAGCACACTTGGAGAGATGAATTGCATTCAGTTTTATTGCTTTGTTCATTAACCCCCAGTTGGAGACCACTGCTCTCCTCCAAGCAGTCTTGCCCCCACACCAGTCTGCACAACACAGCATTAATAGCTCCTGGCATTCAAGCCCTCACCATGTGCCAGGAACCCTGCAAAGCACTTTGACACGCTTGGTCTAACTCCATCAACACAATGACCCTGGATGCTATTATATTCTGTTTTATAGACAAGAAAATTGAAACTCAGAGAAGAAAAGTGACTGGCCCAAGACTGCATGACCCAACATGGAGCTGCAATGTCCCAGAGGGGAAGGAGAGCTGAGGTAAGAATTGCTGGAGGGGCACCTGTGAAGAGATAAAAAGGGCTACAGATGTAGCACAGTAAGGTCTGGATTCCCTTCAGCGGCCAAAGGACCCTCAGAAAAATTAGGATGGATGGAGGCCCAAGTCAAGTGCTAGGGAAATGAGCTGTAGAATTAGCAGCTGTCACCCTGCAAGTGCCCTGAGAGTCTGCCATTCATCCACTCACCTATTCACTCACATATTTATTGATTGTCAACTGTGTGTCAGGCATTGAACCAGTTGCTGGGAATATATCCCATAGGAACATGACGCAGACCTTAGAATTTAGAGTCCACTTACCAGGAGGTTTGCAGGATGTTGCTGAAATAATGAGTTGTATGCAACTGTCAAGACTTATTGTCAGGACTTCTCTGTTGGTCCAGTGGTTAAGAATCTGCCTTCCAATGCAGGAGACTCAGGTTCAATCCCTCATCCAGAAACCAAGATCCCACATGCCTCAGGGCCCCACCCGGAGCCTGCTTGTCCTGGAGCTTGAGGGCCGCAACTGGAGAGAAGCCCTCATGCTGAAATGGAAGATCTCAATGCTGCAACCAAGACCCTTACACAGCCAAATAAACAATTTTTTTTTAAAGTTTATTATCATTAAGAGGTTTGGGACTGGTCATAGCAAACACCCTTTTCCAACAATACAAGAGACAACTCTACACATGGACATTACCAGATGGTCAATACTGAAATCAGATTGATTATATTCTTTGCAGCCAAAGACGGAGAAACTCTATACAGTCAGCAAAAATAAGACCCAGATAACCATGATGGTGTGATCACTCACCTATAGCCAGACAACCTGGAGTGGGAAGTCAAGTGGGCCTTCGGAAGCATCACTACGAACAAAGTTAGTGGAGGTGATGGAATTCCAGCTAAGCTATTTCAAATCCTAAAAGATGATGCTGTGAAAGTGCTGCACTCATTATGCCAGCAAATTTGGAAAACTTAGAAGTGGCCACAGGCCTGGAACAGGTCAGTTTTCATTCCAATCTCAAAGAAAGGCAATGCCAAAGAATTTTCAAACTACTGCACAATTGCACTCATTTCACATGCTAGCAAAGTCATCTCAAAATTTTCCAAGCTAGGCTTCAATAGTACATGAACCGAGAACTTCCAGATGTACAAGTTGGATTTAGAAAAGGTAGAGGAACAAGAGATCAAATTGCCAACATCTGCAGGATCATAGAAAAAGCAAGAGAATTCCAGAAAAACATCTACTTATGCTTTATTGACTATGCTAAAGCCTTTGACTCATTGGACATGAGTTTGAGCAGGCTCTGGGAGTGGTGGTAGACAGGGAAGCATGGTGTGCTGCAGTCCATGGGGTCACAAAGAGTCGGACAATACTGAGCAACTGAACTGAACTGAACTGAAAGCCTTTGACTGTGTGGTTCATGACAAACTGTGGAAAATTCTTCAAGAGATGGGCATACCAGACCACATTACCTACCTCCTGAGAAATTTGTATGCAGGTCAAGAAGCAACAATTAGAACTGGACATGGAACAATGGACTGGTTCCAAATTGGGAAAGGAGTATGTCAAGGCTGTATATTGTCACCCTGCTTATTTAACTTATATGCAGAGTACCTCATGCAAAATGCTGGGCTGGATGAAGCACAAGCTGGAATCAAGATTGCCAGGAGAAATACCAATAACCTCAGATATGCAGATGACACCACCCTTATGGCAGAAAGCAAAGAGGAACTAAAGAATCTATTGATGAGAGTGAAAGAGGAGAGTGAAAAAGCTGACTTAAAACTCAACCTTCAAAAAACAAAGATCATGGCATCCGGTTCCATCACTTCATGGCAAAACAATGGAAACAGTGATAGATTTTATCTTCTTGGGCTCCAAAATCACTGCAGATGGTGACTGCAGCTATGAAATTAAAAGATACTTGCTCCTTGGAATAAAAGCTATGACAAACTTGGACAGCATATGAAAAACAGAGACATTACTTTGCTGACAAAGGTCTACCTAGTTGAAGTTATGGTTTTTCCAGTAGTCATGTACAGATGTCAGAGTTGGACCATAAAGAATGCTGAGCGCCGAAGAAATGATGCTTTTAAACTGTGGTGTTGGAGAAGACTCTTCAGAGTCCTTTGGAATGCAAGGAGATCAAACCAGTCAACTCTCAATGAAATCAATCCTGAATATTCACTGGAAGGACTAATGCTGAAGCTGAAGCTCCAATACTTTGGCCACCTAATGTGAAGAGCCGACTCATTGGAAAAGACCCTGATGCAGGGAAAGATTGAAGGCAGGAAGAGAAGGGGATGACAGAGGATGAGATGGTTGCATGGCATCACCCACCAATAGATATGAGTTTGAGCAAGCTCTGGGAGACAGTGAAGGACAGGGAAGCCTGGTGTGCTGCAGTCCCTGGGGTTGCAAAATGTCAGACATGACTGAGCAACTGAACAACAATCATTAAGAGGTTTGGGAAGCAAAGTAGAGCCAGGAGTGTTGACATGCAGTAAAAAGAGAAACACAGCAGAACCACAAGCAGAAGCCTCACTTCCTCTTTGAAAACCTCAAAAACTTCTCCAATCCATAACCACTGCCACCTCCAACCTTGAGGACAGTCAGCTGAGCTCCTGGCCGGCTCAGTGCCTGGGTTCTGGAGCTCTGTGGTATGGATAATTTTGAGGGGCACCAGGTCAGGAGTCCAGGTCAGGATATGGGGGAGTCTGGGGCCATCACTGCTTCAGAAGGTTAAGCAACTCTGTCACTTCAACAGGGTTAAGGGTGGGGAGCTCAACCCAGTCCACAGTGTACTCACCTCCCCCTGCTCTGCGGTTGACACCTGCCTCCTTCTGCCTGACACCCACTTATCTCATCTCCCTGGACTGCCCAGCTGTCAGTCAGATGCAACAAGTTGGCCTTTGGCTTCACACCCTAGGGCGGGGAGATTCTGAGATAGGGCGCATCAGCTCTCACATTTGCAGAAGGGGCCTCGAGACACTTGCATCTTCCCCTGCACCCACCTGTGACCTTCCAGCCCTTCTCTGGACAAAATGGTAGCTGCTGTTGTTCAGTCACCAAGTCATGTCTGACTATTTGCAACCCCATGGACTGCAGCATGCCATGCTCCTCTGTCTTCCACTGTCTCCTGGAGTTTGCTCAAACTCATGTCCACTGAGTCGGTGATACTATCCAATCATCTTTTCCTCCGCTGCCCCCTTCTCCTCATGCCTTCAATCTTTCCCAGCATCAGGGTCTTTTCCAATGAATCAGCTCTTTGCATCAGGTGGCCAAAGTATTGGAGCTTCAGCATCAGTCCTTCCAATGAATATTCAAGGTGGATTTCCTTTAATATTGACTGGTTTGATCTCCTTGCAGTCCAAGGGACTCTCAAGAGTTGTCTCCAATTTGGAAGCATCACTTCTTCGGTTCTCAGCCTTTTTTATGTCCCAATTCTCACAACCATACATGACCACTGGAAAAACCATTGCTTTGAGCATATGCATCTTTATCGGCAGAGTAATGTCTATGCTTTTTCATATGGTGTCTAGGTTTGTCATAGCTTTTCTTATAAGGAGCAAGTGTCTTAATTTCATGTCTGCAGTCATTGTCCGCAGTGACTTTGGAGTTCAAGAAAATAAAGTCTGCCACTGTTTCCATTATTTACCCCTCTATTTGCCATGAAATGATGGGACTGGATGCCATGATCATAGTTTTTTGAATGTTTTAAGCCAGTTTTTTCACTCTCCTCTTTCACTCTCATTAAGAGGCTCTGTAGATATATCTTCAAATGACATCTTAGGTTCATCCTACTTATCCCCTCATCTCACCATTCCAAGAGGACAGGAGACAGAAAGAGGTCACACAGTTGGGATTCAAATCCAGTAGTGATAATATACTCTTAACCATCTTATGCTTACCATATACACAGATGTCCTATCCAGCCTGTGTCAAACAGGGAAAAACTGATGTTCCCCTATGTGCCTACCTTGGCACATAGAAGAAGAATTAGAAGAATTGTACATACATGCAACAGAATACTGTGCAGCCAGCAAAAAGCAAAGGTTAAATCTAATGAGTAACTTCCGTATGCTAAACCTCTTTATAATCATCTCATTTAAAGACTTCCCTGGTGGTCTGATATCTCAGTTGGTAAAGAATCCACCTGCAATGCAGGAGACCCTGATTCAATTCCTGGGTCAGAAGATCTGCTGGAGAAGGGATAGGCTACCCATTCCAGTATTCTTGGACTTCCCCTGTGGCTCAGCTGGCCAAGAATTGCCTGTGATGTGGGAGACCTGGGTTCGATCCCTGGGTTAGGAAGATACCCTGGAGAAGGGAAAGGCTACCCATTCCAGTATTCTGGCCTGGAGAATTCCATGGACTATATAGTCCATGGGGTCACAAAAAATCAGACACTACTAAACGACTTTCACTTTTACTGGTGGTCCAGTGGTTGGGAATCCACCTGCCAATGCAGGGTATATGTGCTTCATCCCTGATCCAGGAAGATCCCTCATGCCAAGGGAGGGCAACTAAGCCTGTGCCCCACAACTACTGAGCCGGAGTGCCCTAGGACCCATTCTCTGCAACAAGAGAAGCCACCACAATGAGAAACCGTGCACAACAGCTAGAGAAAGCCCTTGAGAAAAAAAAAAAATAAAGAAAGCCCTTGAGTAGCAACGAAGACCCAGATCAGCGAAAAAAAATTTTATTTTAATCATCTCATTTAATCTTCCTCAAAATGTCCCAAGCTAAGAATTATTAATGTCCCCACTTTATAAATAAGCAAACAAAGATCCAGCAAGGGTAAATCAGGTAGCATCCACTAAAATGCCTACAGTGGCCATACGGTTAACAAAAAGTGGTCCAAGATTAATATGATACAAATGGTACCTGACACTCAGCCTTGGTGTCAGGATTAACAAGGAAAGGTGGGGACTGAGGCAAACCAGAGAGCCTGGGCCATTCATCATGACTCAGCATAATTACAGGCCACTGCTGCCAAAGGTTCTAACTCCTCTAGAGAATTCGAAAATCAGGATTCTTCTGTGAAATCTCTAGATTTTTTTTTTTAAGTTGGTTCAATTGTCTTAAAATAATGTGTTTGCCAATCAGGACAGATCTGTGTGCCAGATTCAGCTGCCTCTGCCCAGGGTCCCAGAGCCCTAGCTCTTTCCTGTGGATATGACCCACGTTCCTTCGAACAGTCAAAGAACACCAGTTCTTGACAAAATCCACTAAAAAATATAAGAGGAAAGAACAACTCCCAACTCATTCTATGAGGCCAGTATTACTCTGATACCAAAACCAAAGACCTTACAAGATAACTATAGACAAATATCTTTTATGGATACATATGCAAAAACCCACAACATAATATGAGCAAATAGAATCCAACACCACCAGGACCAAGTAAGATTTATACCAGAAGTGGTTTGACATCCAAAAGTTAATCAATGGAATACACTATGTCAGTAGAATAAAAGACAAAAACCACACGATCATCTCAATAGATGCAGAAAACACACTTGACAAAATCCAACAGTCTTTCATGATAAAAACACTCACTCAACTAGGAATAGGGAACTTCCTCATCCCAACAAAGAATGTCTACATAAAGCAAGTGGCCAGGACTTCCCTTGTGGTCCAGTGGCTAAGACTCTTTGCTCCCAACACAGAGGGACCAGGTTCTATTCCTGGTCAGGGAACAAACTAGGTCCCACAGGCTGCAACAAAGATCCTGCATGCCACAGCTAAGACCTGACACAGCCAAATAAGTAAATAAAAAACTAATAAAAGGTAAGTAAGCCAATCAAAAATGGGCAAATGATAGGAACAGACACTTCGTCAAAGAATGTATATAAATGGACAATAATCATAAAAAATGCTCAACAACAGAAAACTTAACATTACAAGTCATTAGAGAAATGAAAATCAAAACCATGATACTACTTCACACCCACTATAATAGTTATAATTTTCTAAAAATATATGATAAAAAGATGTGTTGATGATAATATAGAGAAATCAGAACACTTACACATTGCTGGTGGGAATGAAAAATGGTACAACCACTGTGGAAAATAATTTGGTGGTTCTTCAAAAATTTAAACAGTTATAGCATGACTCAACAATTCTAATATGGATATATATACTCGAAAGATTTGAAAACGTGTTCATACAGAAACTTGTATGTGAATGTTCACAACAGCTTTAGTTACAATAACTAAAAAGTGGAAACAATCTATAAATCAACTGTACTTCAATTTAAAAAAAAGGAAACCAAATTTCCATCAATTGAACAAATAAACAAAATGTGGTTTATTCATACAATGGGATGTTCTTAATCTATAAAAATGAATGAAGTATTAATGCATGACAAGGTGAACAATAAAAACATTATGTTAAATGAAAGAAACCAGTCACAAAGATAGCATATTGTATGATCCTATTTATATGAAATATCCAGAATAGGCAAATATGTGGAGACAGAAAGTTGATTAGTGGTTGCTTAGAGTTGGAGATTGGGAGTGGGAAATGGGGAGTGTCTGCTTTTAGTGTAACGAAGATGTTTTAGAATAGATAATGGTTTTAAAAAAAATCATAGTGGTTACACAACTGTGAATATACTAAAAACCATTGAAGTATCCAGTTTGAATGGGTGACTCATGCAGTTATATGTATTATAACTTAAAGCTCTTTAAAAGAGAGAGAACTGAGGAGTTCCCTGGTGGCACAGTGGATATGATTTCGCCAGCTAATGCAGGGGACATGGGTTCCATCCCTGGTCTGGGAAGATTCCACATGCTATGGAGCACCTAAGCCCATGTGCCACAACTACTGAATCCTTGCTCTAGAGCCTGCAAACTGGAAAAAGAGAAGCCACCACAATGAGGAGTCCATGCACCACAATGAATAGTAGCCCCCGCTTACCACAACTAGAGAAAGCCTGTGCAAAACAACCAAGGTACAGCACAGCCAAAAATAAATAAACAGATATAAAGGATTTTTAAAAGAGAGAGATGAGAATATTCTTGCCTCCTGGCACTGGAACGGCTTCCTGGAGTTTCCCATGAATGCCTTCTTCTGGAATAGGAGCTCCATGAAATGAGAGCTCTAGTGAAGTATCCATTAAAACCTATGTCAGACACACACACACATACCCTTCAAGTTAATGGTATGTGAACAGGAGCAGGCCTTGAGCAGAGTAATTCCATGCACAAGTTCTGCACTGGCAGGAAGGATTGTGGAAATGGTGGCTTGGTACTCAACATCCCTTGCTTCCTCCTAGCATGCCTCTGGCACTGTGAAAAAAAAGCTACATTTCCCAGACTCCCTTGCAGCTAGAACTCTGGGAATATGGTTCTCCTAATCCATATACAGTTGGGTGAGATTTGGGAGGTGAAAATAAGGCCAAAGACTCCAAGTCAGCTTTTTTTGCAACAGTATCAGCAGTGGAACCATAGTCAAAGTTTGGAGCATCTTTTTTTTTTCTTCCCTTGCAGATCTGGCATAGGTCTGGAGCCAGTACTTACAGATTCTCCACCTTTCCAAGTGAAGCAAAGGGAGCAACTCTCCAGGCTGGTCAGTTCTGTGGATTTGTCCCTGAATTACTCTCAGAGGCCTTTTCTAGAACCAGCTCCCTGTCCCTTCTTGTTAGTTTGGAAGCATTTAAAGCCATGTATGACATTCCTTTCCACTTGGCTTGCATGCGTGCTAAGTTGCTTCAATCGTGTCCAACTCTGTGCAACCCCATTGTCTGTAGCTTGCAATGCTCCATAGCAGTTTATTTATTTGCAACTGAGTCTTAAAGAATACACCTGCTTTGCCCGAGTTGTCCTGCATGAAGACAAGCAATCAGTCATCCTGAACCTCTGTATCCTCATCTTTAGAATGGAAGTAAGAATACCCTTATGGCAGAAAGTGAAGAGGAACTAAAAAGCCTCTTGATGAAAGTGAAAGAGGAGAGTAAAAAAGTTGGCTTAAAGCTCAACATTCAGAAAACTAAGATCATGGCATCTGGTCCCATCACCTCATGGGAAATAGATGGGGAGACAGTGGAAACAGTGTCAGACTTTTTTTGGGGGGGGCTCCAAAATCACTGCAGATGGTGACTACAGCCTTGAAATTAAAAGATGCTTACTCCTTGGAAGGAAACTTATGATCAATCTACACAGCACATTAAAAAGCAGAGACATTACTTTGCCAACAAAGGTCCATCTGATCAAGGCTATGGTTTTTCCAGTGGTCATGTATGGATGTGAGAGCTGGACTGTGAAGAAAGCTGAGTGCCAAAAAATTGATGCTTTTGAACTGTGGTGATGGAGAAGACTCTTGAGAGTCCCTTGGACTGCAAGGAGATCCAACCAGTCCATCCTGAAGGAGATCAGTCCTGGGTGTTCATTGGAAGGACTGATGCTGAAGCTGAAACTCTAATACTTTGGCCATCTCATGTGAAGAGTTGACTCCTTGGAAAAGACCCTGATGCTGGGAGGGACTGGGGGCAGGAGGAGAAGGGGATGACAGAGCAAGAGATGGCTGGATGGCATCACTGACTCAATGGGCATGAGTTTGAGTAAACTCCAGGAGTTTGTGATGGACAGGGAGGCCGGGCGTGCTGCGATTCATGGGGTCGCAAAGAGTCGGACACGACTGAGCGACTGAACTGAACTGAAGAATACCTCACTGAGGATTAAATAGGAAGTATTTTAAGAAGCTATCATGCTACTTGACAATAGTTTCATGAACTGGAGCTCTTTGGTTGAGCTCACGAATCATTGCAGCTTGTACTCCTGTGAAGTAACAAACAGTCTCAGTCTGCATCCTCCTTTCTCTCAGAAATTTACCCTGACCTTTTCTATCTCTGCATGGTTAAAACTCAGAGCCAAGAAGGGGTAGGGCCAGTTTTGCAGGGCAGGGGAGAGACCACCAAGTGGGGCTTGGATGATCTAGGTACCAGTAGCCCTCTTTTACAGATGAGAAGACTGAGGTTTAGGGAAGATAAAGGACTTGCTTAAGTTCAGTAAGCCATGAAAGCAGAGAAGGGATCTAAAGACATTTTGTCTGACTCCAGAGTGTGAAGCCTTTCATCAGCACACAGTACATACACCTGTTACTTTTGGCATGTGATCCACTCCCCTTTCAGTCTGAGGCAGGCAGCTGGCAAACTTCATTTCAAAGACATATTATCTCAACAGGCAGGCCCTTGGATGGCTCAGTGGTCAAGAACATCTCTCCAGAAAACTGGGGCAACTTGGGTACCACAAAGAGCATTCAGAAGGTGGCAGGTCCATTGCTAGAATCTGGCTGAGATGACAGCTCTGATTTCTTGCCCAAGGAGTCAGGAGAAAAATATCTATTCACTCGGTTGACATCGACCTACAACAAGCTCTACACGCGGTGCCACAGGGTTTGCAGCAATGTATGCTCCAGCAGGGAGCCCGGGCAGTGATGGTTACTCCACCCTCCCTGGCCGGCCCATGCAGGCCTCAGAGCTCTCCAAAGACATCTTCCCAGGGCCCTAGGACTTTCACAGCTTCAGAGAGTACCCACCCCCCTGCCCACTGCCAGTCCCCTTCCCACCAATTGCCCACCTTTAAAGCTACACTGGGCAGCTTCCTCCTCTAGGACAGAACTCAGTTCAGCAACCTCTCCCACCTCTGAGGGTCTGCAGCCCTCATTTCATGCAGACTGCCCCTCAAGGGCAGAGCAAATCCTGCCTTGTGTCCTGATTACAATGGGAAAGTAGGAGACCTGGGCTGACCTCAAACCTACATCAGCCCCACTGTTCTTGCATGTTATTGAGTTTCTGTGAACCTCTTTCTTAACCTGTGAAAAGTTACTAATATCTACTTTGCTGGAGAGGTAAGCATGTACTGGGGCTCATATTCAGTAGATGGTCATTCCCTCCTCCTGGCCTCTCTCCTGCCTTTCAGATTATACCATCCTTCAGGGCAAGAGACAGAAACTTTTTATCTCTTTATTCACAACCACACCCATCCACACCTGCCCATGGAGGCTGCCTGACAAAACCTGTTGAATGAGTCAACAGCTAGAAGCCTATGGTGAAAATCACTCACCATGATTTGTTTCATTCTTCTGTTTGTTAAACAGAAGTGTCTTAAGTCTTAACCAGATGCCAAGCCCTGTGCTTGCTGCCAAGGATAGAAAACACGAGTCAAGGTCCCTGTCCTCAAGAGGACCACGGTTTGTGATAAAACAGGCATGTCGGATATCATTGTCCAGTGTGATCACTGGACTAGGGGTGTCCAGGGGGGGATGTCTAACCCGGGGAGGTGGGGACAAAGTTGTCAGGGGAAGTTTCCTAGAGGAGGTGGGGCCTCATCCAACTTCATTTAGAGTCTGTGTCTCTCCAACCATTGGCATGGAAGTACCATGAAGGCAGAGATTTTGGTTTTGTTCACTGCTGTGTCCCCAGGACTTAAAAGACTACCTGGTACATGGTAGATGTTTGATAAATTTATGTTGAATGAATGAATGAAACAGGCAAAGAAGAGGAAAATTGTGGTCAGAGGCTTGGAGGCAGGAGATCACTTGGCTCCTCTGGGTTCCTGCATCCCTTGTTTTTCTTTCAAGAAACCCAATCACTCTACACAGGACCCCACACCTCACAGAGGCTCTCATACCCCATGTTAGTTTCACAACAGCCCAGTGAAGTGAGCTGGGCAGGTACACCTCTCCCTATTCACCCATGGGAAAACTATTTTTGTTTTTGTTTTTTAAGAAGCCAACAAATCTTTTTCAAACACCTGCAAAGTTACTGGGAGGAAGGCATGATGCTGGACACCCTGTCAGTCTATCTTCTCCATGACGTTCTTGGGCTTAATGCTCTCTTCCTGGCTACAGATGGAGATCTTGTCTAACTTGTTGGGACTCCAGCCACACTGCTCATTCACACCTTTAGCTTGCTGCCTGTCAGATCCCCCAGCATCTCGGCCAGCAGCCAGAGATTGAGGTGCTGATGAGTGATGCCCTTGACATGGCAGATTTCGAGTCTTTGAAGCCGGTTATACCTTCCAAGAGATCCATGTTTTTATCCAGGGCTTACTAGAAGGCCTCGAAGTGGCAGGTCCCCAGCAGGTCTCTGAGGGACAAAATCCGCCGGCTTGGGCCGTTCTTCCTGCTGCATTGCACAGCATGAAGTCGGTGTGGGGCAGGTTGGTGCGGGTCTGTAGCAGGATCTGGGCAGTGACTGTGGTCTGGAAGAAGGCTGGGTATACAGCTTCAGCACAGCTGGATTGGCTTCCAGATCATAAATATTCTCCTTGTCCTGCGTCTCCTCATAGTGGTCCGGGGTGGCCAGGTTCTCAGGATCGTACCTGTCCATCCCCTTGAGTGACTTGCCTGCGTTCGCTCTCACCTGCTCGAACATCACCATGACCGCTGCGGCCTCCCACACTGGTGATGGAGCCGAAGACCCTGCTGGGCTGCATCCTGGAGAACTGGAAGAGTGGGGAAATTGATCTTTAGAGAGCAAAAGTGTTTGACCTGTGGTCCATGGCAAATTGATGACCTTGCTGAGAGGAGAACTCAGGTCTCCTGGCTCTGATACCTGGCTCCAACCTGCTCCCCTGGGGGCAGCTCTGCCCTCCAAGGACCAACAGGGCTGCGGTGCTCAGCAGAGCTGGGTGTGTCGACCTTCACATTCGGAGAGGGGACCCAGAATCAAGGTGAAGAGAAAGATCCCGGTCCTGAGAATGGAGATGGTATAGTAATAGGAACGGTGAGGAAGAGGAGGAGGAAAATTAGAACTTTTCCATTGTGCTCAGCTGCTTCAGTCGTGTCCGACTCTTTGCAACCCCATGGACCATAGCCCTCTAGGCTCCTCTGTCCATAGAATTCTACAGGCAAAAATACTAAGTGGGTTGCCATTTTTAGGAAGTTCAGTTGCTGTTCAGTTGCTACGTCATGTCTGACTCTTTGTGACCCCCATGGATTTCAGCACGCCAGGCTCCTCTGTCCTCCACTGTCTCCCAGAGTTTGCTCAAATTCATGTCCATTGAGTCGGTGATGCTATCTGACCATCTCACCCTCTGCCGCCCCCTGCTCCTTTTGCCTTCAATCTTTTCCAGCATCAGGGTGCTTGACATCTGTTTCCTCATGGATTCCTCACCACAGCCCTATGAGGTGGATATTCTTCTCCCGATTTAACAGGTTAAAAAACTGAGCTCAGAAAGGTTAATTCACCTTTGAATTGTTTGAGGTCATGCTGCCAGTTAGTGGTAGAGCTGAATCATAAGCCAAGTCTGTAGAGCTTTTTTTTTTACCATCTTTGGTCATCTGCAAAGAGCAAAGGATGTAGGACAGGTGTGATGCTGTGATGCTGTGTGCATGCTGGGAGCCAGGAGGACCTCAGAGCCCTGGCTGGGAGGCACTGTCAAGGCCAAGCAGCTTGGACCCCAGAGTCTAGGGGTTTAGGCCCACGGTTCTGGCACAGAGTTTCTCTTGCTGCCATAGCTGTCACACAACAGACACTTACATAATGCCAGGTAGGTGCCTAGCATAGCTGGGTTATACATGGAACCCAAACACCCAGCCTGCCCCATTTATTGGGAATAAATGGGGGCACATTAATAGCAACTACTTCACTGCAACCCAGCCTTGAAATCATCCTCAATTAGTTCTCCTGTATCAGTTGAGTATTTTGGTTCATAGCCCATGGCCCTAAAGTCAACCAGACTATGTTCAACTCCCTCTGCCTCTCTAGCTTGCATCTTGAGCAAATTCCGTGGCATGTCTCAGTTTGTTTCCTTGCCTCCTTTACAAAATAGGACTTGGAACAGAAGTGGAGTTGTTACGGAGACCATAGCAGACCGTGCGTGGGAAGTGATTAACCCAGCACCTCGCCCAGAGAAAGAGTTGGATGAACACAGCTGTCAGGAGGGTTTTTCTGAGAGGTTCCGGGGATGGCTCTGTGGGCTCCCAAGCATGTCACCATCTGCCTCCATGGGAAGACAAGGGTTGGCAAGCCAAGGGTGTTGTGCCTTGTGGGGCTCCCCCAGTGCTGGGCCAGCAAGTCACACCTACAACACGTTCTGTTCTCAGCGACGAGAAGGGTGTCCCACTCACGCTCCGGTCCCGCTCTATCAGCAGAGGGTGAAGGAGCTGAAAAGGCAGCTCGTGCCCTCCCATTCATCAGAGCCCTCCACGGAGGCAGTTCCTTTGACTCCGACAAGTGGGCGCACTGAGCGGCCTGACCCCGTGACTCTTATTCAACATCATGGGCACTTCATCCTCCTGAGGACTCCTCCGTCCCCACACATATGGGCCTGAGGGGGTCCATGCTAACCCCTAATGTCTGAACCTCAGCAGACTTAACACCTACTTCTGGCCACCCCAAATCTCCCAGGCTGGGTAGAAAAGACTCCAATAAGGGATAAGGCTGAAGACCTTTAAGGGACAGAGAAAGTGTTGCAGGAGCACAGAGCGGGGGGTTTTTCCTCTGCCTGGACCAGGAAAGGCAATCTCACCACATCACTAATGACTCAACCTGCTCTGTGCCTCCTCAGACCCCCAGTTTAGCCTATCAGATCTTCTCTGATGCAACCCCTGCCCAGGCAACCACATCTCCATGACCTCACTTCATCCTGCCAGAGGAGGTGGCAGTTTTATTACACAGAAAAGGAAATAAGGCTCAGAGATTTTAAATGATTTTCTCAAGGTCACAAAACAAGCTAGAATTTGAACCCAGACCCCACCCCAGAGCCTGTGCTCAAAGAATCACAGAATCACTTTAAAAACTAAATGAGCAGGTCTTCCCTGGTGGCTCAGTGGTAAAGAATCCTCCTGCAAATACAGAAGACACAGATTCGATCCCTGATCTGGGAAGAACCCACACGCCGTGGGACAGCTAAGCTCATGTGCCGCAACTTCTGAATCTGTGCCCTGGAGCTCAGGGACCACTGAGCCCTAGAGCTCAACCATCAAAGCCCACGCGCCCCAGAGCCCATGCTCCGCAATGAGAAACCACTGCAATGAGAGACCCGAGTTCTGCAGCAAAGAGTTGCCCCCACTGATGGCAACTAGAGAAAAGCCCATGCAGCACAGAAGACCAAAAAATAAATAAGTGAATACATCTATATATGTACATTGAAAAAAATGCCAAATGAGCAAATTGTAGGGGACTTCTCTGGCAGTCCAGTGGTTAAGACTCTGTGGTTCCACTGCAGGGGATGTGGGTTTGATCCCTGGGTGGGGAACTAAGATCCCACATGCTGCATGGCCAGAAAAAACGAAATAAAAGTAAAAGAAAAAAAAAAATTAAATGAGCCATTTGTGAAAACACTTTGGAAAGCATATGAGGGAAATTAAAGACACCATTTGTAGTAAATATCTTTTAACTAAAAATATTTCCCTCATCTTGATCAAAACCCTCAAGGAATCCAAGAATAGTATCACCTCTAGATTTGGTCACTCTTAACAACACATCAGAGGCTTCCCAGGTGGTACAGTGGTAAAGAACCTGCCTGCCAGTGCTGGAGACACCAGAGACATGGATTCGATCCCTGCATTGGAAAGATCCTCTGGAGTAGGAAATGGGAACCCACTCCAGTATTCTTGCCTGGAATATTCCATGGACAGAGGAGCCTGGTGGGTAAAGGGGTCACAGAGTCAGACACAACTGAGCGACTGAGCACAGACACAGAACTCATCAAAGGAGACCAAAGGGGTCAACATGAGGTGTCTTACAGAACTGAGCATCCTCCTTTCTGGACAGAGTGGGCAGGCACAGATTCTGGGACTGTTCTCTGTGGATTATGGCAATACCAGACTCTGCTCGGTCCTCCTCCAGAAGGAGCTGTCCAAAGCCCATTGCTCTGAGCAGCATCAGCAGTTGAGAAGGTATGCCCATTCAAGATGGGTTCTGGCAGCTCTTCCCAAAGTTTACTAGGGAACACTTACAAAGTAAGGGTATATTAGAAGAACACTGCCAGGAGGTGATCACCTCCAGGTTAAAGGAGACAGCCCAGTCGCTCACAAACCAACAAAGGTGTCACAAATTAACTGCTATAAGAAATGATCCAAAAATTGACTCCTATTTTGAATAGACAACAAGCATTGAGTATCACGGTCACATGCTGAAATTACAAATTGCAAAACATAGTAAAATGATCAAATAGCTTGACTGCAATTCAACATGTGGTTGGTGAATACATTCCTATGAAAGTGGAGAAATATTTGTTGAAACAATGCATATACACATTGGAGACTAGTTTGTGGAACTTGGAGGAATTCTTGATGTGTTAATTCAGGTCCTCCGAGAAGCCAGTGTCAAGAGGGGATTAGACGTGGGACTGATTTATTGGGGAAAATACCTGTGACGGAAAATGGGCAAGGAGCCCGAGGAAGGTGGGAGAGCGGTCAGACCACAGTGCAGGTGAAACCCCCAAAGAAGACAGAGGAAGGGAGGAAGGAGGGGTGGGCAGGAAATATTTTAGACTGAGGTGCAATTCTAGAAAAGTTTCAGCAGAACCACTGGGGAGTCCTCAATCCAAAACTGCCCATCACAGGGACTTCCCTGGTGGTCTGGTGGTTAAGACTCTGCGCTTTCCTGCAAGGGGCGTGGGTTCGATCCCAGGTTGGGGCACTATGATCAATCCCACAAGATGCATGGCCAAAAACTAAAACAAAAAACCCAAACTGCCCATCACAAGGTCCTTTGTCTCCCAGGATGGCCTTGCCTTCCTGTCCTTGTCGACTCAGTCTCTGCCTGAGAGCCACCCATGGGAAGTGTACCCTCAGAGAGAATGTGGTGAAGGATTTCAGCCATGACGGTTGGGGCACAATCACCCTTGGGGATGGCATACCTTTTGTTAAAGGCGATATGTATGTCACAGCAAGACCCATCATAGAAACGTGTTTACTTTCTATTATGCACGTAATTTTCCAATGCATTTTAAAAGAAATAAATATCACTAGCCTCAATTTTGTCAGGATATTCCATGAAATCTCAGGAAACAGTTTGGAAAGTTCTGGATTCTGTGGATTCCTGGCCAAGGGTAGGTAATTGGGATTGTGGAAAGAGGACGCAGGACAGAACTGAGAGATCTGGGTTTGAGCCCCATTCTGTCACTCACTTGCTGTTGGAGCGTCTTTAAGTCACTTCCTTAGTTTCCACACCTCAAAATGGGTACAGTGAAAAAGAGTTCTAGTCGTAGAACCTGCTACTCAGAGCCCCTTAAAGATAGACTCCTGGACAGAAGCTTCTATGGCAAAGTGGCTGCTTCAGTGGCATCAAAGTCTGCTGGCCCTGCAACCCGACCTTGTGCCCGCCTGGGTGTGCCAAGCAGGGACCTCGTTCTCCACCATGCTCTGTCCCTGCTTCCTCCTAAGCAGACTGGCTCAACTTCCGGTCTTGTGGTTTTCCTTTGTCAGCTGTCATAGCAACCGGGGGGTGCTCTGGGAGGGGACTGTGGTCAGCCGGGGGAAGGTGTCACCTTCCAAAATAACCCTGGTGGAGAGACTGGTGGCCACTTTGAAGCTGACTCTCACCACCACGCTGTTTCCAGGAAACTCTCAGAGGCTTGAATAAAGGAGGGGCTTTTAAGAAATGAAGCCTGCTGCAAGATCCTTAGGCTTCCTGGACAGATGGGAGACACGCCAAGGGGCTAAAAGTCCAACCGCATTTGGAGGGGGAGCAGGGAGCAGAACCAGGAGGAGGGGGCTAGGTTGGTAGTGAGAAGGTCGAGGTATGAGATCCCCAGCAGCAGGGTCTGGGTCTCCCGCAGCGGCCTAGGCCTTCCTTGATGGCTGTGTCCTGGGCTCCCCCTGAGACAAGGAGGCCCCCGCAATGTGGGCTCTGCGTCTTGTTCGAGATCGGGCGTCTCAGGCAGGGCCTCTGAAGGACAGCCTTATCCACTTGTCTGCCCAAGTCTAGCACTAAACTCCTTCCTGTCTCCCAGAAGTCTGCCTTGATCAGTTCCCCCTACCTCTTATCTGCCCGCGCCCACATCTCACCCTCCACCCCTCGGGGGTCCAGCCCGGCCACACGCCTTCCAGAACCTCTAACTGATTTCCAGCTGCCACTTCCTCTGGACTCGACTGCCTGACTGTGGCCTCCTTCCCAGCACACTTAGGCCAGTGTGTGTTTGTCTTTATCTGTTCAATCCAATCCTTCCTTCCTCTGAGGGGGGCAGAGGCCTCTAGCTGGCCCGTCACCAGTGCCTCCCTGACAATTAGCTCTAACTCTGAGCATCTACAAGTATCCACAAAACAGAGAAGAGCGACCACCCTTGACTGCAAGCTGCGTGTATGTGCCAGACACAAGGCTAACTCTTCACACTTCACCTCTAAGGTCACTCCATCCTTCAGGACTATTACAGAAAATTCCCTGGTGGTCAAGCGGTTAAGAATCCACCTGCCAAGGCAGGGGACACGGGTTGGCTTCTTGGTGGGGGGGGACTAAGATCCCACAGGCCTCAAGCCAGCCAAGCCTGTGCACCACAGCTACTGATCCCAAGCTCTGGAGGCCGGGCTCCACAATAGAAGCTGCCGCAACGAGAGGCCCTGCAACGAGAGAACAGCCCCGGCTCACAGCAACTAGAGGACGCCTGCGTACAACAAAGAGTTTGTGTGCCACAACAAAGACCCAGGGCAGCCAAAGATAAATGAGTAAATAGCATAAAAAGAAAATAAGAGTATTACGGAGCTCCCACTGTCCTCAGGCCCTTGTTGGAGACACTGCGGTCAAAAGCAGACACTGATGCTTGCCCTTCTGGAGTTTACATCCTCACAACAACTCTGAAGGTAGGCATCACTGCTGCCATTTGTGTATCATCTAAGGTGGCAAATATCTAAGGTGGCGAAGCCAGTAAGCAGTTTCCGCACTCAAACGGACCCTTTTCTAAGCCTGAGGCTTTTTAACAAATAGGAGACGTTAGACTGTATAAGCTGAAAGCACTAGACTCATAGGAGCCGGACTCTGCATAATACTTTCTGTTTCTAAAATACTTGGCTCCTTGAAGAAATGGCTGCTCTCAGGCTGGGCTGGGGAAGGACAGGTGAGCCTGGAATAGCTTGCTTTACCAGAAAGCAAGACGTACTTAA